TTGCTGATGCTGCTGAGGCTATTATATCTTGATCACTTTGTTTGGCTTGGTCAAATTTTTTCGCAAAGCTTTTCATGGGTCTTTGTTTTACTACTGCCAATGGCCTCCATGTTCATCATGACTTGTGGTCATTTTCCATGGATTACAGTGTTATGAACATGAAGCAGTGGACAGACATGATACATCTGACAATAAAGAAAGGGGAAGGATGTTAGCACTGCAGAGAGCTGATTAGGCGGCAGCAGTGCCTGGGATAGCTTCTATCAGTGTTTATATGTCAAAATAGCAATTAACCTGTACTTCCATAAACCTAATCTTAATAAGACACATGAAGGATAAATAATTGGTTAATGTAATGGCTACTTGTCTGTCAGTTATGAGTTTTCTTGATAAAATAGATGTCATTTAGAGGTCTTATACTATTCTTAAGGTAAAACAGTCAGTATGTCTGGTGAAATGGGTGCTGTGCCACAAATACAGCAACGGTACAGCAATTTCCTGATCTACTGCGGAGTCTCAATTTCTAATATGCAGTCAAAAGCCAGGAGTCATTTTCTTCTGGTTCTGTGGAAGACTGTCTAGGTCAGCTTATATTGTATGTGTTGTTAGCACTTCACTATGATAACAGTTTAATGGTGTTTGTTGATTATGACCATCTCAGTTGGCTTTACATTAAAAGTAACAAAACAAAAGCAATTTGTGAATTGCATGCTGACACAAAAACTCTGTTAGCCCTTGTAAACATCTGCCCAGGATGCATGTATTCACAATCAGTCCCACAGTCGGATTGCAGCAAAACATTTTTTTCAGCTTTATAGATTGGAACTTTGTTCTCTCAACAGTATATTTAATCAGACCTTGCCTTGGAACTTCCTGTGGCTGAAAAGACTTCATGTTCTGCAGTCACTCACTTCCTCTTATAAATGGAGCGAAAGGAAAACCAGTAGTGTGTATAAGTCAATAATTAGAGAAGTGTTTTTTTTTCACACTTTAATGTGCCTGCAGCATAATGAAGATCTTATCTTTTACCTGTTTTTTTTTATTATTTTATTATTTTATTATGTTATTTATTTTATTTTTACATGTTTTATTATTTTTTGCTGCACAGGTGGACCCTTAAGAATCCCGTCAGAAAAAAAAGTTAAATCCACCGTCATGTCTAATCTAGATTAGAGAGCATGCAGTAAAATGGGATTGCTACAATTTACAATTGTTGTATCTTCAGGCCTTTCACTAAAAACAAAAATCCCCTGTCACATGTTCACCTAACTTTATCTGTTTGCAGCAGGCAGTGGTATCATTTTGTAGTTTTGGAAGGAAATACATTGTAGGGCTTGCTCTAATGCCTTATCTTGGACTGGCAGAGCTGGTTAGTAAAAGCTGAATTGTGGAGTATATCGCTCTCAGCACAGGCTGTATTGTAAATGTCAGACCCTGAGCCTCTCAGGTCTTGTCTCATTTGATCTCCATCATGTGTCTAAAATGGGTCTGAGATTAACCCAACATTGTACCTGTGTGTGTGCTTATTTTCTTATAAAATTCTCAGGCTGCTCTGGTGGCTCACCTGGTAGAGCATGTGCTCCCCATGTACAAAGGAGTCCTTATTGTAGCAGCCCGGGTTCGACTCCAACCTGCGGCCCTTTGCAGCATGTCATCCACTGTCTCTCTCTCACCACTTTCCTGACACTCTTCAGATGTGACTATCTAATAAAGTCAATAAAAGCTGAAAAATAATCTTAAAAAAAGGAAGAAATTCTCTTTCAAACTGGGGAAAGATGTAGTGAAAAAACTTAAAGCATGACTACAGCAATCACAAAGAAAAAGCACTAACCAGGTGAAGGGGCTTGATTTCTTGAGACTGTGCATGCTAAAAACGTATGCACACACTCATGGATACTGTCAGGCACTTTAGATAAAAGTGTACCAAATGGCGGATGTTAAATGGAATTGTCGTTTGAGTGCGAGTTCATGCAGAGGGCAGCCCTGCTGTGTGGGCAGGATGAGTTACTAAAGCCTTCAGTCTTTAGTAATTTCGTTAGTGCCACAGATGCCACGTTCCTGTAAATCAGAATAACACTTGGAAGCTTCTTTGTAGCTGTCTGTCTCTGCCATTATGTTTCTTTTCACATTCTTGCTGTCTTTTATGACACTCCTTAAAGGAATGACAAGGATGAGGTGAAAGTAGATGTGGGATGTTGAGATGCCAGTCATGGCAAAGCAGACCTTGAACAAGAACACTCAATAAAGGGCAGGCATCTGGGAACACCTAATAATCTTACCACTTAGCCGTTACGGTCACAGTCAACATCGTACTGCATCTGGAAATAAGCTGTGATTGTGGGACTATAGGAAAGGTCATGGGGGTCACCAAAATCAGAATGCTTTTTTGTCTTGGGAAGGAGACAATCTGGCCCTTTTTAAAAATGTGTACAACACTGACCCAAGAACAAAACTCAGTTGGGGTTGTTGTTGACAGGAAATGCATAGGGCCAGCAGCAAGGAGGAGCATCCTCAGTCATTATTCAATCATTTGTTTTTGGCATGAAGTCAAGTCTACAAACTACTTTAAAAATACCCTGATATATTCTTAGTGCCAGTACTTGGGATATCACAACAATAGAATCAAATTTATACACAGCCAAGTTGGGCCAACAGACAGAGAAGCTTGCCAAGAGTGAATTAGCCTTCTCAGAGAGGCTTTTACCCTGAGGGTGGCTGGTTTGAATCCAGATTTGTTTAAACTTCACATAAGTGGCTGAGGAGAGGGAATGAAAAATACTTATTACCAGTCTACTGAGGTAGCTAAGTAGGTGCCATCGAGGAAGGACTACAGAGTGGAGCATAATGCTAGGGCTGACCTGAATGCCTCGAAGCTTCCACCATTGCAATGGCAATCGACTTCCAAATCAGTATTCGAATGTTTCGGTTTTATTTTAAGTTTGCGAAACAAGACCCTAAATAGGCGGGGAATTAACGCTTTTTTTTTTTTTTTTTTTGGCTACATTTGATTACATTTAATTATTTACTTCCCTTCCCTACAAACAAAAACACACCTGATTGTTGAACCTTTCATTGTGTTTATGTTTGATACTAAAGGGCAGGGCCTATTCTGTCAATGTCTAAAGTGAGAGTAATCCACTGTGAGGAGTGCACTACTTCCTCCACTGGGAAGGGTCAGATTGCGTGGTAGACTGTCACGTCTCTAAACTGTCCATGGTGCTGGCTGACTTTCTCACGGGGCTGATTGTGAACTGTCTGTGCTTTTTAGCTGCTGTTCACCTCAGCATAGGTCTACCAGTTGATGAACACTTAAGGGCTGTAACCTTGCCAGGAACATTTGTTTGTACCTGGTGTTTAGATGTAAAGGAAACCCCATTGTTTGAGCAGATGTCTTGTACTGTGCAGTGATTTACACATAAGGCAATCTGATGCTCATGAGAAAAATATCATTTATTATCATTCATTATTAAGTAGGAAAATAGATTGCAGCTGCTAAATCTTCACCTTTCCAGTATGAAAGTCCAAGGGTCAGAGCCGATGTGCTGTCATTACGATGTAACAAAATGTCCTAGTAACTCGATAGTGATTATCTTTGATGGAGAATTGCTAGGAAGGGAAATAAGAGCTGAGGAAAGAGGTTGGAAGGTTTTTACATATCTCCTTTAGCAAAACAATGTGATCCCCCCCCCCCTCCTTTCTATAATGTCATGCGTCCCTAGAGGCTGATACTCTATCATGTGGGGAAAATAAATGAGAAATGCTCTTCTCTCCTTCCCCCACCACTGTCGACGTGCCCTTGAGCAAGGTACAGTGTGTTAGTGTGGTTGAAAGGGAAACTTGTATTTGAGATTGATGAGCATGTTTGTTGCAAATGTTCCAGGATGATTCTGTTGATTCTGTTTTTATCAGCGGATGTTCGTCCGTGTTGTATGTAGGCTTTGCAGCTCTGTGAAGTCTCCTAGCAACCATCTTAAAGATAGTCTTGAGAGAATTGTAATAGTATGACTCAGTATTGTTTTAAATTGTGTACTATCTTGCCAGTATTGACAGCTGCGTTTCACTACTGTTAATCCCAATAATTATTTGATAAACAAGCTAGCATGTAAGGAGTCAAATGTATTAAAATGACAGTTTTGGTTTACTATTTACTTGCAATCAGCTGAGAGTTGAAGTTTGCAGAAGGCAGGTTATGTCAATCACAATACATTTCAGTGTTTCCTCTAGGATTTTTTTTAGCAGTGGGGGCAGGCCCGTCCGAACACCCCCCCCCGTCCTGTCGTTCCGTTGGGAAACGTATTGCGTATGAAACAGAAGTGACACTTCGCTGCGACACAAACAAATATATTTACTGTTTTAATGTTTCCAGATGTTTGATATCAGGACGTTGAGCTGAGAACTGACAAGTTGAATGTTGTCCAATTAAAACGGACCCACCGCGGTGACGTTTTTGGTGGAGCTGTTAGTTTAATAGTCGACTTGGAAGAAAGCAAACGTTTTGACAATAAGCTACATCAACACAACAGTATGTGGAGTTAAACTGGACAGCCCCAATAACCTCTGAATAGTTCTACTTGTTGTTAAATTGCAATGTGAGCGGCAGCCAACGGGGGTGCATTATGTCGGCAGGATCATTTAAAAGGCAACCGGGACTACATTGTGCGTCTGCCCCATTTCTGATACCGTGGCGGCAGAAATTTAACAGCGGCGGGCTGTCGCTCCAAAATCAACATAGAGGAAACACTGCATTTATTTGTTTTATGGTGGCTTGCTACATGTTTAGATTGTTATAATGTTACATTATAAAATGATTTAAAATGCTGTTAAGGTAGATCTTGTTCACAAAGCAAATTCTCCCAACAGTACATACAGTACAGTATCATTTGAATTTTTACAATGATATTGTGTGTGATATAATACCTACAATACTCAGCCCAACAGCACCTTTTTAAGTGTTGAGTTGCCTTAAGGCATGTCTTAAACCTCCTGTCTCTCATCTGCAGGGCTGCCTTTGCCCTGACAAAGCCGCTAAAGATGAACATGGTGAAGAGGATCATGGGGCGGCCAAGGCAGGAGGAGTGCAGTCCCCAGGATAACGCGCTAGGCCTGATGCACCTGCGACGCCTCTTCTCTGAACTGTGCCACCCTCCTCGCCACATGACCCAGAAGGAGCAGGAAGAGAAGCTCTACATGATGCTTCCTGTATTTAACAGGGTAAGTCACACCAGGGGTGGAGGGAGGGCTGGAGGTGGTCCAGACACAGGTAGATAAATGTTGATGGTCTCAATTACAATTCTGAACAGAACAGAACAGAACAGATATCACTTCTCATAAGGACACTTAGTTGACGGTTTACTGAAAAGCATTCATTTGAGCTCTGTAATGTATGAAGCTGGCATTCAGACCTGGTGTTGACTGTCTATGTCTTCCTAAAAAAAAGATTAATAGTCAGGCATGCTTTGGGCTCACGGTGTTACAGACAAGGTGCTCCATCTACTCTTAGAGTGCCTCTTACATCATAGACTGATATAAACTCAGTATATGAGAAGTCACCTGGGAACTATTTGGAATTCAAATTCTGTGGTTAACTGCTAATTTCCATACGCACCTGAGTAGACACCTCCCAGTCCCAGTGCAGTTTAATCTGATGTAAATAAACCTGCTATCTGTGCAGGTGTTAACTTTATGACTAAAGTTCAGCTAAATAGAGCACAATGACATACATGTTTTCACACTAGCTTTGGGTCACTCATATTGACCGTATCTACCATGTAAATGATCAAACCTCTGTATATGGAATCGTACTTTATCACAACCTCTCATACTGACATGGAATTAAATCTTGAGCACCTTGTTGACACACATGCATACTGGGATCAACCTGATCTCCAAAAATATTTGACAAAGTTAATATTGTCTAATGCACACCTGGTACACAGGTGCGTAGGAGAGTCATGCAAAGGCAGTGAACTCCCACACACTGTCAACACTAGGCTTAATTGAAAATGTTTTGATCATAGACCTTTTGTCTTTCACTTTTGGCTTTAACCTCACAATATATAACAACCTTTATACTTGGCTGGCCACAGGCTGAATCAAAACTATATACATAAACTCGAACAAGCAATGTTAATGTGTTGGAAATGTCGTAAAAACGTCCCTACACTGAAAATGAAAGTGTTTTGTTTGTAGTTGTGGTTATAAAAATAAGTAATTGTAGCTTGCTTTCATATGCACATAATAAACCAAATCCAAACACCTGAAAAATCTTAGACATACAGTAAATTCTAGATAATCAGTTCTGCAAGTAATCTACATATTGATATAGTCTTTTTTGATTAGCTGATTAATCTTTTAGTCTCTACAATATGAAAATATAGTGAAAAATGCACATCAGCTCTGAGAGCCGTGTGACATTTTTTAATTTCTTGTTTTGTTTGACCAACAATCCAAAACCTGAAGTATGCATGTAATACTGTAAAGAGAAAGAAGAAAAAAACAAACAGAAAATCCCTAAAATTGAGAAGCAATTAAATTGTTCTTGCTTTTTCCTAAATTTCTGTTGATTGACTAATTGATTACAGTCTAACCATTCCAGCACTAATGACAGTGAGAAATGCATGTAGATTGGACAACGAATGAATTGATAATTAATCGGCCAAGGAATATATTAAAATGTCTTCATCAGTGTCGGTTTTTCCAACAAAAGAGATAATGCAGGACTCAGTGAAATGATTTCTCTGTTTACAGTCTTTCTTTATATTACACTGATAGAGTAGTATGCCTACATTGTTTTGTAGCAGCTGCTGCAAGCTGCACTGTTGAGTGTTCTCGTCAGACTGGAGTACCTTAGTAAGGGTCTCTTGTCAGCTAATTATCCAGTGCTGGCTGTGATTCCCTCACTGGTGGCATAATTCATGTCAGAATTCAAAAGTAGAGTACTCCCGGTGCAGCAGGACACCAGGCTCCAGGCCTACTTTCATGTCAGATTTGCTTGGTAAATAAATACATGATGAGTCGTTGTTGAATGAAGTGTAGTTTATCTTTGCCCTGGTCCCCCGAAGGCTGTGCTCTGTGGTTGTAAAATTAGGACATGGCAGGAAAAACCCAGAGAGATGCGAGCCAGTGCACCTGTACCTTGATGATTTCTGTGTGTCCCTGCTTTATGTGATTGCAGACTGTGGGGAACTGCTGCTTTATTTACAGTTTCATTGTTTTCTCTTTTCTCTCCAGTAAAGAAGTCAGATTTTCTCTACTATCTATGGTCATTTTAACCCTTGTTACTGTATAAAGACATAAGATTTCTTATTTTTATTTTAGAGTAACATACATGGATTTTTTGGGGGATTTCTTCTTTAGGTGTTTGGGAATGCTCCACCCAGCAGCATGACGGAGAAGTTTTCCGACCTGCTGCAGTTCACTACCCAGGTCTCACGGCTCATGGTGACCGAGATAAGACGAAGAGCCTCTAATAAATCCACAGGTGAGCCCTCTGACACGTAGATTTATTACGGTAAAGATGTAATAGGAAGTTTGTAAACATCAATTTATCATTTCTTCAGCATCAGTTACGGTTATTTCCCATAACCGGTTTGCTTCTTCTGTCATAAAGATGATTTACTTGTTCCCTTCCCCCTTTGTGCGGGTGTGATTGTTCTCACTTTGGCTTTGGTGGTAAAAGCCACATTTCCACCGGAGAAACTTTTCCCAGGGACTAGGAATCTTTGGAGGAACTTCTCCCATAGGGAGAGACTTTGGTATTTTTGAAACCTATTTTCCCCTTGTTTTTGTGTCTAAGTGACTAATTGGGACAACAGTTTTTGAAATTGGTCCAGTATTGAGTGAGAGCGCTACAGCTGGCAGCCACCAAACAGGCTGCAATGTAATCCTTAATAACTGCACATTCTTTTTCGCCCCAAAAAAGTCTTGTTTCTCTTCTTGGCGGTTATTATTTTCCAAAAGTAAACAAACTTTGGGAGGGAAGCTTGCAGCGCTAAACATTTCTGATTGGAAATACCAGTGGTTTGGTATTGCATTGTGCTTTGACACATCAACATGGAGTAACAGAAGAAAGCATGCCACAGATGGACCAACAACATCCCAGCATCGTTGTATATTCACGTTAAAAAAATTATATGTAAAAACAGCCATCACTTTTTCATCAATCAGCTGACTAATTTTCCTAATCTCTGTGGGTCACGAGACTGCAGAGGAAACGCAGGCAACCACAAGCTGAAGGAAGGACAGGCCTTGTCGATCCTTGAAGTAGTTCCTGGGACTAACAGTTCTTCATACCTTAGGGGGGAAACATGGCTAACAACATGGGCGTTGAAGGGATTTTTTCCCCTTCCATTATCTTCAGTTAGGATGATTTTATAGTTAAAATTGTGATGCTACAATTTATATCAGTTAACTGTTTCTCACTCAGTAGATATTTTTGTACTAAGGACCAGTGCAATGTGTGTTGAATCTCACATGAAAGGTTAGTCTTCACTACAGGTGAGCCAGCAGTATCTCCTTTGACTGTAGTAGCAGTTTACACCCCCCCCACACACACACACACAGGGTTATAAGTCTCTAGCTTCCTGCCTCTAACTTATCTTACTTTATCATCTCTCTCTTGACTCTGTCTGAACATGTGATGTGTTGTTTTCAAGCAGAGCACAGCTCTGGTTTTGCAACACCACAGTCTAACACACACTCCTCCAGCTGGTCACCAGGCCTCTAAAGATTGAGTCAGTGGTTGACTCAGGGTCTAAACTGACTTTGAAATGCTTCAAATCAAATTAGAAAATAACAGTGAACTAGAGCTAGACTCTTGTAAGGAAGGGTGTTTAATCTTTAGCGTTTTCCATCTTAAACTGACAGAATATGTGTGATACAGTCAGTCATCCATTGTTGCTAACAATCCCACAATGCAATTCGTTAAGTGATGATGAAAACTGATTCATAATTGTCCAAACTCAATTTACTGATTACTATTGAGTTAACTACTGTCTCCTATAAAGACAGTAGTGGATGTGTGAATGAGTGAATGATGGAGTCATTTTGGAAACAGCACTGGTTGTTTACATGTTTGGAGATAAGTCTTTGTTTTAAGAGCCAGACAGACTGGAATCTTAATCTTAATCTTAAACATAGTGTGTTACAGTCAGTTAAGTCACTGCTTTACATCACTGCCTATGTTGTGTTAGCTAAACTGCATGTATCCATTGAATAAATACCAACTATATACAGTATGTTCATAATCTTTATCTCTGTATTCCTTTATGTAAGAGGTGAGTTACTGTAGCAGACACAGGTTATTGAAGACAGCCTGGCTTGCATTTAGTTGTACAAGATTAGGACAAAATACTACTTCTCCCCAACAAAAAAGGTCTAACATATCATGCTATTTCTCTCAGGCATCATAGTCCTTTGTTTTGATGGAGGAGAGAAAGAGATTTGCTGGGAATTGGATAAAGGCCAGAGACGACATTTGGACAAAAGTCCTCTGTGAAGCACAAATGTCTTGAAGCCAATACATAGTTGGTTTATTCAAGGTTTTCAGTGCCCACCGGCTACAGGAGCCACATGTGAGATTGACATTTGCCTACTTTCTTTTTTCCTATACTATTATGTTTAAAGATGTTGTCCGTTGAAGAGTGGAATATCAAACAGCACGTTAGAAACTTGTTAATATGTACAAATTATGTTTTTTTCCCCCTGCAGAAGCGGGCTGTAGACAAGACTCATGTCATTCCACCAAGATGATTTATTTGTTGCATAACTGATCATTGTTCCAGCAGCCCATCTGCCTACCACAATGAGCTGTCACTTTGCTTTAAGTTAACTGTGTGTTTATGTGTGTGTGTGTGTGTGTGTGTTTGCTTCTCCAGAGGCAGCCAGTCGAGCCATAGTCCAGTTCCTGGAGGTGAACCAGAGTGAGGAGGCGAGTCGTGGCTGGATGCTTCTGACCACCATCAACCTATTGGCCTCCTCCGGACAGGTTGGCAGAATAACACTATTTTTTTTTTGTGCTCTCTCTCTCTTTTTGTGTTTTTCTGTTTGTGCCCTTGATTTTTTGTTTGTTTGTGAGGCTTGCCCTCCTACATGTGAGCGTAGATGGATAAATCAGAGGAAACAACTTGTAAAAAAAAAAAAGAGGTTTCTCAGTGTTCTGTCTCTCTTTGACCCATTTGCATCCTCCCTCTTTGATCTCTCAGCAGAAAATAGCATCAGCCTCTGTAAGAACTGAGAAACAGGCTCGTGAGTACAAGTAAAAATCCCCACCGGACCATCCCACCTCATTCTCCCCAAATAGTAATTTGTTAAATCTGTTTTACCGCACTGAAAGAAGGAATTGATGCTGCTCCTGTTTATACCTGATATTTGCTTTCTACTCATAGTCATGTTATTGATGCTTCTGTATGTCACATGGATAGCATCATTGTCATATTTTCAAACTTGCATGCAGTGAGATAAAGTCAGAAATTGGATTTCTAGCTTCTGGTCACCATTCAAGACTGCTCCATGTATTTCTGAATTTTAACATGGCAGCTTCTTGGGCTTGTGGTTTAAAGGTCAGGCAGTAAGTCTTGTTTTTCGTTGTGCTCTTGCACTGTGGCCAGCAGCAGACGCCTTTTGAACTTTTCGGCCTGCATTCCTCTGGAGGTCTTGAGGCGTGCATCGCTGTCAGCTGACCAGCTGGCTGCTCTTCCTGCTCCGCTGCACATCAGAAATTCACTGTTGTTGTCGAGTCAAACACTTCCCCTCTCCTTCTGCGGAGATGTTTTAACACCCTGATCTTCCTTTAACAAAATGCACACACTCACAGTATCAGTGTCCATTGCAGGGGTTAGCTATAGGTTTACTCAAGCCCTGAACATTTAAGAGAATATTTGCGGACCACTACATTTGGAAGCTTGAAGGAAAGGTTAGATCTAGTACAGTTGGTGTTAATGCTTGTTTGTTTGAGACAGTCTTCTGTGCACTACTAAAAGTTGAAGGATAAATGCCTCAAGGGGGTCATTAAAGTGCCACTGCTTACTGTGTACACAGCAGTTTAAAAAAAAATAAATATTCAGGCTTGTAACAATGCATAAAGCAAGTCTTCTGCTATCAGGGAATAAAATCAAGGTTTATTTTTTAAGTTCAACTCTTTGCTTTAATTTAAACTTCTCAGAAGTGGCCTCCCTGGTGCCCACAGCAAACAAGAAACATATCGGGATTTAAACCACTCCACGTTTCCTTTCTGTTAGGGGCTGGTTGTGTTTTATAGTCTGGTTAGCCGTTTCAAAATGCATTCTTGTACATTTCATTCGGCTGGGGGATCGTGTCTGTTTTAAGTGAAGCCAGATTGACTGTATTTTACGGTTGTAGAAATGCCAGATTGTTATTCTTGTTGAGCCAGGAAGCATTTTTTTACTGTATGAATGTATGAATCTGAAGTAAACATCCAATACAACTCCTTCAACAGTCCTTCAGTCTTTGCCATTTAAAGGCAGCAAAAGAAAGTTTCTTACATTTCTGTATGTTTCTGAGGCTCATTTCGCTGCTCAGACTACTTAACCCTGCTTGCAGTGTTTACTGTGGATTGGTATGTATAAGTATTATGCCAGAAATGTGCACATTTTTGGCCCTGGGGGTTGTCTTTCTGTGCCAATGCAGCGGTCTCATTTAAATTAATGAGGGGTTGCTATTTAGTCACAGTGCTACTGGTGGCCTAAACCAGCCTTTGATTGAAAAAAATGACCCAACCAACGGCAATATTAACCAGCATTTGCATGTTCCTGGAAACCTCCCAACCTGCTTCTGTGTCATTCAGGCAACGGTTTCATTATACTGCTGCGTAACTGTTTGATTTGAGTACACACAAACTTGACAGGAAAAAGAATGACCTACCAGGTTTGCTCACGGTCCTGTGTGTGTGTGTGTGTGTGAGTGAGAGTGAGAGTGACTGGGTTTAATGGATTTGTATTCTTTTCCTCTTGTGTCTCAGACAGTAAAACAAAGGACCCTCCTGGCAGCTGGCCTCCCATAAACCTGACGTCACTCCCCTCTCTTTAATGCTGTCCCTCTCTCTCTTTTTCTCTCACCTCCCGCTTTCCTCCCTCAGATGATAAAACAGCAATTTTTTTGTTTGTAGTTCTGTCTCTCTATCTCAGCGTTTTTTTTTTTTTTTAACAGAATGCCCTTCACGCTCTGTGTGCTTTATCTTTGAAACACACATATAGGTTTTTGACATTTTTCCCTCTTTCTTTCTTTCCTTGTGTCTGTCTCTTTTCCTTTATCTCTCTTTCTTTCTTTCTTTCTTTCTTTCTTTCTCTCTCTCTCTCTCTCTCTCTCTCTCTCTCTCTCTCTCTCTCTCTCTCCTTCATTTTCTCTGTCTTCCTCTCTCTTTTAACTTATACACACAGACACACATATCCAATAAAATGTCTTTTTTCCAGCTGACCTTGACCTTAAAGCTGCAGCAGGGCCAGTATGTCACAGCCTGTAAACACACACACACACACCCTCCCCCACGCCTTCTCTCCATCGATCAGCTGAGGGACTGAATTTGCTGTGTGTGTCCTGTGCTCTGTTATTCATCCTTGTGAGTCTCTCTGTGGTACAGACAGAGCTGGAGTAAATGGGAGGGTCATCTCAACCAGCCACTGTGTGTGTGTGTGTGTGTGTGTGTGTGTGTGTGTGTGTGTGTGTGTGTGTGTGTGTGTGTGTGTGTGTGTGTGTGTGTGTGTGTGTGTGTGTGTGTGTGTGTGTGTGTGTGTGTGTGTGTGTGTGTGTGTGTGTGTGTGTGTGTGTGTGTGTGTGTGTGTGTGTGTGTGTGTGATCGTGTGTGTGTGTGTGATCGTGTGTGTGTGATCGTGTGTGTGTGATCGTGTGTGTGAGTGATCGTGTGTGTGAGTGATCGTGTGTGTGTGTGATCGTGTGTGTGTGTAGATGAAAGAATGCGATTATTTGTCAGTGTGAGCTTCTTTTTTGTGTGTGTGTAGGAGGCAGCGTTTGATTATCTGAATCATTCGCCTCAGTGAGCACAAACCTCATCTCTTTCTCCAGTCATTTTCCTTGCCATGATCACACACACACACACACACTCTCATACACAGACGCACACATGCATTAATAGACAATAAACACACACAAAGCCCTCAAAGCTATTCAAGGCAGTTTCTTCCTCACAGAAACAAACCATGAATCATAGCACAGTAACAAATATACAAAAAAACGTTTTCATCTTTAGGTATTGAGTAGCTTCTGTTCTGCACTTCAGGTGGGGCGATACATTTCAGTAGAATCATGACACTGTTCTTTTTCTTTTCTTTCCCCTCTTCTGAAATGAATTTGTTTTATTTATAATTCACAATCTGTTTCTTCTTCCTCCCCTTTCATTCCCTCCCCTCCATCAGAAAACAGTGGACTGCATGACGACCATGTCTGTACCCTCCACGCTGGTCAAATGCCTCTACCTGTTCTTCGACCTGCCCCACATGGCCGAAGCCCCAGTAGGCCCCACCCTGCCGCAGCCACCACCACCACCGCCGCCACCCACCCAGGAGAAGACCCCAGGTCAAGGCCACACCCAGCAGGAGCTGCCCCTGGCTGACCGCAGGGCACTGCTCCAGAAAGTCTTCGTCCAGGTAAAAAAAAAAAAAAACACCTGCACAGGTTACTGTAAAACTTGTCCACTAAGATCCACAGCTTGATCATTTTAATTTTTCTGTTCCTGCCTGCGCTACCAATTCACTTTATTTTAAAAGTACTTCCTTAAATCAGAATTTATAAGTATATTTTTTTAAATACATAAGATGGGGACATTTTCCCAACTGCGTTGTAATTGTCTCTTGTTGTTTGAAAGATTACTTGTTTTTGTGCAGTTTTCATGATGTAGAAAACCTTATTTTCTTCTGGAGAAAAACTAATTTGAGTCAGTTATTATTCATTAAGTCTTGTAGAGCCTGATAGTTAGTGACATAAATGGATTGATGAATCCCTTACTGTAATCATGGTGGGAAATCCTATCTGATAGGTGTTATTTTTACTGCCATTATGACCTTAGGACCTAAATCTTTAACATTTTCATGTTAATAATGGCAGTTAGAAAATGCATTTGCAACAAACACTCTTCTCCACAATGTTTTTTTCCAGCAGCAGTTTTATCAGCTCATTTTCATGCTGATGCCTTTGGCTGGAGTCCAATTTTCTGTTCTTTCCTCTCTTGCAGATCTTGGTGAAGCTCTGCACCTTCGTTTCTCCAGCAGAGGAGCTGGCCCAAAAAGATGACCTGCAGCTGCTGTTCAGTGCCATCACCTCCTGGTGCCCCCCCCACAACCTACCGTGGAGGAGGAGCGCAGGAGAAGTGCTCACCACCATCTCCCGACATGGCCTCAGCGTCAACGTGGTCAAATACATACATGGTATATATCAATTTAAAGTATGTGTACGACATCTGCGTACATGTGAGTTTATGACTTATTCACACATGGTTTAGTTGTGGTCGGACAAGGCTAAATTGCGTATATGTAGTTGTAAGCACACCCACCCAAGATACATTGAAGATCCAATCTCTAAACCACTTCTGGAGTTTATACAACATGCATTAGGCCACATGAAACAATATAAAAGGCAGTGTAATCTACATAGAGAATCTACAGATCCAACATGGAAGCGCATGCAAAATAGATATCTGTCATGCACACACAAAACACATTGAAAGCATACTGGTAAAGCAAACAAAAGATTTTGTTTACCAACATTTGTAAAGCACACAAATAATGCAAGAGAATTTACAGCCAAATTAAAATTTGTAAACCTCTTGAGGATTGCGCAATTCGTGTGACTTACAATACGTTTTTTTTTTTTTTTTTAAAGTATCTAAGCAAAATATTACCAAAATGTAACCATGCTTCTATTATTACTTTATTTGTGAAAATACCCACATGGATCCTTTTATTTGAGAAAAGACCTGGACCTCATAGTCATCCATAACTCACGAGTTTACAGCATAACATTTGACCAAAAATTAGGGTACAAATCTTTGTGCAGCATTGTACAGTAAATCTAGACACAAATAGGGAACAAGTCACACTGAAACGAGACATACAAGCTGTTACAGTATATTAGTAAAGAAACTTGGAGGAAGTGCAGCTTGGGTTCCTGTCACCCACCTGCAGCACTGATTTCCAGAAGTGACCACACTGGGTTGTAGAGAGCCATCCTTTTACTTACTTGTGCTGAACTTGCATTTATCTAAACCACATTGAATTGTTGGACATGGAGAATGATGTTCTCTAGTTATAGAGGTGTAGAAAGAGAATGAGACCTATCCAAGCTTCTTAATATTTTCCACCTGATGCTTTTCTTTCTTAGAACCATGATTAAAGTAAGCAAAGCAAATATACTTAATAATTTAAACAGGTCTGGCTCTATAAGGTTTTCCAATGATAACACTTGTTTTTCCATAGTTAGTCATCCTGCTTTACAGTTCTCCCTTCAATATAAAGACTAAAGATGAACACAGTCCCTTCCTCTTCCTCACTGTTAACCCCTTCTGCCCTCAACCCCTCCGTCTACAGAGAAAGAATGCCTGGGAACATGTGTGCAGAACATGCAGCAGTCTGATGATCTGTCACCACTGGAGATTGTGGAGATGTTCGCTGGCCTCTCCTGCTTTCTCAAGGACTCCAGTGATGTGTCACAGACCCTGCTGGATGATTTCAGAATGTGCCAGGGTTACGCCTTCCTCTGCGATCTCATGCTCAGGTACAACTTCATCCCTACAGCTGACATGCAGTGTTCCTCGAGTGTGTCGTATGAACATTCATACAAACCTCTCTCTGTATACAGACTGGAACAGGCCAAGGAGGATGAATCGAAAGATGCACTGAAGGACCTGGTCAACCTGGTCACCTGTCTTACTACATATGGGGTGACTGAGCTTAAACCCGCTGGTCTGACAACCGGAGCACCCTTCCTGCTCCCTGGCTTTGTTCTCCCACAGCCTTCTGGGAAAGGTATGTTAATGATAGCAACTGTGGCTGCTTATTTCCATAACTAGCTAGACTTTAATTGACGTCCCAGTCATATCCTTTGATCGGGCAGTGCTGGGGCTTACTTGGATTCTAAGGTTTCTGGCCATCAACTGAGGCAAACAAAATGGTATCCCCTACGTTATGAAATTAAATGTTATGTTGTCTTGTCTGTTGCTGTCACTCAGTCAACAGTACTCTTGTCCGTCCTCTTTTCTTATCCACTTATCCATATGACAATTTGGTTTTCTTTAAAAGTCAATCCTGGTCCAGTATGCAACTTCTGCAAGTGTGATGTAGAAATTTGAAGCCACCAGTGCACAGACACTGAGAATGGAGTTTACAGTGAAGCAGGAGACATCTTGTGTTTAGCAGGAAAGCTTCAGAAATGTGAAAGATTCTGGAATTCTTAATGAGGTAGCAGGATTTTATTAAGGATTTTAATCTGGACAGTTCTACTCTTTTTCTGTTCTTGCAGAAAAACATATCAGATGCAGATTATTGTTTTAAGCAGACTATTTTTATATGTCTTAATACTTAATACTGGAGAGGATCTTTTAAATACTTTTGACAACCTCTTTAAGTAGACTAAAGTTTTCATCTCTAAGTTGATGTATTTTGATTCATGTTAGTTTTCCCAAAAAGAAATCAAAACATCTCACAATTTAGTCAAGTATCTCATCAAATTATTTCTTGGTATTTGCTTCAAAACTGACTTTAATAGTCTTTTTTTAACTTTAATAGTGGACTGAGGAGAAGGAGGTGGTAGATTGTGTAATTTTGTAGTGAAATTCAATGGAAGCCACACAATGGACAAAACAGCAGACTAATTGAAAACAATTATGGTAAAACGCTTCTCTCTGCTAGAATGATCATCCAAAGAAGGGCTCAGGGACACTTTGACGGTAAATGTTGAAGATGTTCTTTCCCTCCCCCATCCAGGATACAACCCAGTGATTTTCTGATCGCAGACCTGCCTCTTAAATCTTCACACCCCCACAAACTCGGTTTGCTCAAAGATTTGAAACAAGAGAGAGGAATTACTTGTGGAAAAGTCTTCGTGTATACCCCAGCCGCTGTATCTCCCCGTCAGATCTTAATCCCTGAAATGACTTTGATGCTTGGCCGATCCCAGTAAGCTTAACCTGTTGACAGACACCATGGCAACTCTGCCGCCTGTCACACTGCTGGAGACAAATGCCCGAAGCCTCCTGCATACAAATGGACTCTTCGGAGACCAGAGACGCTTTAGTGGTTCAGAGAATTGTCTTGAGCCACACGTTCACTTCTGCTGCCTAAGAACCTGTCCCGGCTGACCTTCTGTCTTTCATCCCCGCTCTTTTTATAGTTTGTCATTAAAGAAACAGGCTGAACTTTATATGGCATGGAAAAGAATTATAATGCTCTCATGCTTTATGCTTTATAACCGTACGTAAGCAAGTAGTGAAATACAAAAGGGAGGGGAGTGCCTGGGATCTTGTTGACACAAGGGCTAGTGACAGAATATTATAACGCTTTTATTACCTTTATAACTTCCCTGGTTCGATTTCTGCCAGGGACCTTTGTTGGATGTCGTACCCCTCACTCATGCCCCAAGTTTCCTGTCTATATTCCTGTCATCTCCTTCCATATTACGCAACTTTGGAGCTCCGTGTGTAGAAATAGAATAAATAAATACTAATGTGCATAACATTGAAGCTTGACACATGATAAATATACTGCAGATAAACATACATTATTTCCATAGTTTTACACTTTTCATTCTTAATATCAAATATGTAAAAATTATTCTCGCCCTGCGGTAACAAAATCTTAGTTTCTTGTTCGTAAGTAAACATCTTTGCGAAATATCTTTGATTTGGTTGCACTGTAGGGAATTATTATGAGCTATTCATATTATAGGGATCAGTTTTAAAACTGATAATCTTTTTTGTGTAATATGAGTATTTATAACTCTTTGTAGAGTTTTATTTAGGAAATGGTTCTTCAAAATTAAAATGAACTATAATCCATTCAGGCATAAATATTCATACAATGTTTGTATATTTTTCTATAGGACACATTGTGCATTCTTAAACTAAGACATTAAATGAATTGGCAAATATGTTCAAATTGTTTTAGTAAGCAAAACATTTGCTAGTTCTAGCTTCTCAACTGTGAGCCCTCATGTGTATGCTAATAACTGGTCTGAGTGCCTTTTGGATTAAACTATCGATGTGGTAGCCAAAGAAAGTGGGGGAATAAAAAGGTGTGACATAAGAGACAGTTCAGTTCTTCCCTTGACTTTCACTCATTCTGTCTTTTAGTAATTCTCTTTATTCCTTTCTTTATTTCTTGCTCATTTATTTCGACCCAATGTTAATTACAAATGTCTATTTTTTTTTTCTTTCTTCTTTTTCCTGGTTATGTTTATCTGGCTTTGCTAGTGATAACTATTAAGACTTGTTTTGAGTAAACTTTTTTTTATTTTAGGGAAGTACACATGATGAAATGATGAATGACAAGTTTTAACACTTAGCTGTGCAGCGTTGTAACCTGGCTTATCACCTCCGCCCCATGGCTGATGACAACTTTCTAACCTCACACACTTTGGCTTAGCTCTGCCGCCTGTTTTACCACACACAGGCACACAGCCGCACTCACACATATACACACTTTTGTTTACCCACCTAATGACAGCCCCAGCTGTATGCAGAGTCATTACCATAAGCCATCATGGTGTGAGGGTCCACTTACACGCCTAATTAGCCCACCACATTCACTTAGCAGCTTTGTGTGCTTTGGTGTGTGCGATGACACACGTCAGTGTAACTTTTCTTGTATGTGAGTCATAGCTTATGGTTTTATGTTAGCTACTCAACCCCGAGAGGGATGTCAGATAATGTGTGTAGTGTAGTTCACGGATAACATCCATCCTTCATGCTCTTACTTCATCCTTTCTCTCTATCCTTCCATCCTAAGTTAAGGACCTTCCCCCAACTCAAATCTTTTAATTGACTCTGTATTTTTGTGTTATGTACCCCCAAACCACACAGGGCTTACATTTTGCAGAGCTAAAGAACCTACTTGTGAACTTTTAAGGATTTTCCTCCTTTGATGCTTTATAACTAATGCCAAGCTGACAAATCAAATTGCAAACATTCATCATTAAACAAAAATGTATGACACGATATGGGATTATGTTTAAGGAGCATTACTACAAATTGAACCATTCTTTGTTGACTGTGGAGTGATGAAATCTGATGTGAAGTAGTAGTTTGTTTTAGAAATGCCAGTTTTTGGAGTTATTCAGATCGATCTAAAGGAACAATTTCATGCCTAATAAAAACCAAAGCTCCTTTGTGTCAGTCGTGTGGTTATGATTTTTCAGTGACTGCTAATAGGAATTGATTCCTTCCTTTTTAGAAAAGACCATACAAACCATTAAAGGACTAAAAACACATTAGTCAAGACCGGGAATTATTCTACTCATTAACTAAAAAGGGGAAGCCCAGTCTAGCGTGCATTCATTGTTGGATCAGTTGGCTAAAACCCCAGGAAAAATAATTCATCCCAAAATTCCTGTGCTTCATTTTCTCCTGGCTTTCTGGTACTGCCCTATTACAGCAAATCCAAGCATGAAGCCTTAAAGTGGGTTTTGGGTTTCCTTTCAGCAAATACTGGACTGTGAAAAGATTGCAGTGTATTTGCATGAGATTATTTTTCTCAGGGTCACTCCTGCTCTTAATGTTTGATGCACCCTCAAGGCATTTTTGGTCTCATCTTATGTCCAGGATCTCAGATATCTGCATTCAGTTTAGCCAGGGAGGTTTAAGGCCAAGAAATCATTTTTTTTGTTTTGCTGGATGAAGGCCAACAGAGTCATATGCATGTCCGAGTGTGAGAAATGTAAAAGTGTCGTCAGCCTCCATCTGTCCGTTCTGTTAATGTTTGCTCTCTCTTTGTGTCTGATTCTGTTTGGCAGCGTCCCAGTTGTCATTTATCAAGTTTTTTTTTTTGTTTAACTTTGTGGTTTCCTGATGATTTTAATGGACACAAGTATTTTCCATAATCATTGTTTAAAACCATTCGGAGCGAGTCATTCACAGATGCCATGGTTTTGGTATATTTTGATTTCATTCATGTTGTGCAATAATTTTATTTTGTATTTTGCTCATCAATTTATTGTGTCATTCTTATTCACTGTCCTTCTTTTTCATCTCTTGTCTGTCCAGGCCACACAGTGCGTAATATCCAGGCTTTTTCGGTGCTCCAGAACGCCTTTCTGAGGGCTAAAACCAGCCGCCTGGCTTGCATGCTGCTGGACGCCATCGGAAACATATACGCAGCAGAGCCGACCAACTACTTCATCCTGGAGTCGCAGCACACCCTGTCGCAATTCGCAGATCGCGTGGCCAAGCTCCCTGAAGCCCAGGCCAAATACTTTGAGCTGCTGGAGTTTGTCGTCTTCAGCCTCAACTACGTGCCATGCAAAGAGCTATTCAGTGTCAGCGTGTTACTCAAGTCGAGCACATCACACGCCTGCAGCATCACGGCCGTCCGGACGCTGCTTAAGCTGTCCAGGCACGACCCAGTGTTCAGTGACGTGCTGCGGGAGGTCGGCCTGCTGGAGGTGCTGGTCAACCTGCTGCACAAGTATGCTGCCTTACTTAAAGACCCGGCTACGCAGCAGCAACCACACAATAATGATCAAGGTATGGGGATGTTTTGGTTCTGTTTTTGTGAATAATGAGCTGACTGGAGGGTTGCAGAATTGATCACTCCTCCTTGACCAAAGGGAATTGGATCCGAACTGAGACTAGAACAGTTCATAATTGACCAAACTAGGAAATGGGAATTTAACTCTTCAAATTCTTGTTAAATGCAAAAATGAGAGCTGCATAATGCATGATTCAGAAATCTTGAGCCAGTGTTCGGTTTGTCCATTCTGGGCTACTGTAGCGTCTGCAGATAAAAAAGCTCATTCTAAGGTAACGGAAACATAATGATTCTTATTTTCAGGTGATTATACACTAATGAAAACAAAGTTATACATATTATATTCCATTTCTGCCAGTAGATCCTCCTAAATGTTACACACTGGACCTTTTTAAGTTGCTCTTTAAAGATGCTTATGTACTCAGGTTGGAATTATTTAAATAGTTTAGTTCAGTAGTAGTGCTAAGGAAAGACACAGCAATCACCAATAAGTTAACCATTAAATGTCTGTAAATGCGTATGAAGTCGAATCAACAACATCCAGTAATGGCTGTTCCCACGACAAAAGACAACTCCAAGACAAAACTGGCACCATACAGCGTGAGGTCCAAGCCTTCGAAATACTACAGGCAGTTTAACTCATTTAGGTACAGGCTAAATGGATCTAACCAACTACAGGCTTGGGCTGAAATGCACTCAGCTGAATCGAGAGCAAATTATAAACCCATCAGAGCCAAAAATGTGTATTTCTTTGAATTACAAAATTAAATTCTGTTTTTTAAAATTGTGTTATTGTCTTATGGTACAAGTATTCCATGTCCTAATTTTTTCTTTGCGCATTCCCTTTATTATATCCTTAGTGTTATTCTCTCACCGTGTGCATTTACTGCAATCATGATATTGTCTGATGCTAACTCTCTTCTCTCTTTGTTTTCCCTCCATCTTTAGCCGACTGTAAAAATAACACAGTAGCAGAGGAGCAGAAGCAGTTGGCCTGGCTGGTGATGGAGACACTCACTGTGCTCCTGCAGGGCTCCAACACCACCAACACTAATGCAGGTAAACACACACACACACACACACACTTACTTTCGGGCACATGCACATTATGCTATACACAGGATTTGAGGTGTCAAAAAGGTCTTAAAATGTGTATTAAATCCATGAAGATTATATATTTTTTTGAATTATGTGATGACACTCATTAAAGATTAATATTGGGTTAGGAGACACAAGACACCATGTCCCTTAATAATTAACTTCCAGGTACCCTTTTCATTTTATGTCAGAACTTTCTTAAACTTTTACGTTTTATTCAATAGTAACAACAAGAAAACATCTGACCTCACTTTAAGCAGCTGCAGGTGACTGTTTTTTTAATGCTGTGCAGGATCAGTGAAGGACACACATTACTGATAAGACACACATTGTATTTTTTGGCTTTAATTGTTTGCCCCAAGTTTGACCTTGAATGCTGATGATGCAAACATATAAAATCACTTTAATTGGTTATTTAGTTCGACCAAAAGTGTTCTTGAGCAAAGCACTTATTCTCTACCATCTCCAGGGCAGCTGACCTCTGACCTCTCTGTTGAGGTGGAGAGGAAAGAGAATTTTACTCCAGGGATCATTAAAATATCGTATTACATTGCCTTAAACCTCCTTCTACTCCCACGTCTCTTATTGACCCTCTATGTCAGTGTGTGTGTGTGTGTGTGTCCCAGTCAGCTGTAGAAATGTGATGAGTCACAAAGATAACCAACAGGCTGCACACCAACAGCTCAGAGCTCTCTTCTTCTGTGGTCTTCGTAACCCTCCACTCTGACACATTGATTACATTTACATTTTATGCTTGACGCTGTCAGCTGGCACTCTTATCTGGAGAGACTCACAACGAGTGCAAGAGTTGAAGGAAATTCCAAAATTCCAATAATGTAAGACTAAAAGTTTATTCAGATAAACTAAGAATATAACCAACATCATGAGCAACCAGTTTTATTTTGGAAGAGCGTTTATTCATTATAGCACTTTCAATTGCTAAATTTAGTGCTAAAATTAAGCTTTTAACTGCATTTAAAATGCCAAATATTATCTGGTTGCTGATTCTGGTGTTGCTGCTTTTCTCTGTTTTATATCATTGTAAATTATCATATAAATGTATTTTGGGGTTTTGAACTGTTCAACAGAGAAAACAAGCAATTTGAAGACACCCACTTGGCCTCTGGAAAATTGGGATGAGCAGTTTTGAGCAATTTTCTCAAATATTTTTAGACAAGAGTTAACCTATTAAGTGTAAATATAATTGACGTATTATGTGATAATGAAAATAATGGCTAGTTTTAGCCCAAGCTAAATGCACTGCTCTGAGGAGGGGATAGTGCAACATGGATGTAGTGTATTTAGCTGTGTTGTGGCGTGTTTGGAGCCTACCGAACAAGTATGTATGAGTATCACATATTCCTTTTTAAAAGGCGATCTTACACAGTATTGAACATGCTTTTTTGTAACAGTGTATTCATTATAAATAATAATGTATTTCTTCCTCATTTGTGTCTGTCTCCTAGCTCTGTTCAGGGAATTTGGCGGCGCTCGTTGCGTACACAACATCGTGAAGTACCGCCAGTGTCGGGAACACGCCCTGCTCATCATTCAGCAGCTTGTCCTGTCGCCCAGCGGAGATGACGACATGGGAACACTGTTAGGCCTCATGCACTCTGCACCGTCCAGTGAACTACAGCTGAAGACTGACATACTGCGGGTATCAACAAACACACAAACTGTTCAGTCTTACACACTCAGTTATTCAAACTACTACTGTCAGGTTTTTAATCAATTTTAAATATTTTTACTGAAAACTCAATCTGTATCATAGGCTCTGTCTCACAGTATTATCTTTATATTTTGTCAGTAAAATCAGCTTTTGTAGAGAATTCTTCAACTCAAATATGAAATAGGAAAGATTACTATCTTGATACACTGTGGTGTAGCTAGGAGGAGTTCAGAAAGATGTAAGCACTAACAAAGCCTTCAGTTTCAGTGAGAACATTGGAAAAAGCAAAGTCTGTAATTTAAAAAATCAATATGCATTTGAAGCCCTGCATACAGTAATTGCTTCAAACCATGGGTCTCTAAGTGTAAGGTGCACATAAAGGATTATATGTACACACACATTCACACACACAGGATGAGAGGCTCATTTTCTGAAGCATAATTGCATTTTCAAATTCCACTCCTTCAGATGAGGTAATTCTCACGCTTTTTGAAAGCTTCCACTGGATTAACCCGTCAGCATTTTGCTCCTATTTCACTAATCAGGGATTTTAATTATCACCCTTAAAAAAATACTAAAGACTGTAAAACACTTATCAAATCCAGTTTGAGTAAAATATTTTTGTTCCCTTGCTTGTCATCAGGGTTTATGTACTGTTGTGAGTAACACGCAAATAGATCAAAATTAAGCTGATTAGCCTTGTGAAAGTGCACATTTAACTCTGTAATCTCTTAGGAGGGCCCGGTCAAACCCTGATATGTTGCATCTAATCCTCAAAGCCTCCTCATGGCTGTTAAAGTTAACATCCCGAAACCTAAATCTCACATAGTCGTAGCCTGGTGGTAATTTCCCATCTTGCAGGAACAGGATGACTTCAACATCCTGTGATTAGTTAAAAAAGAAAGAAAACCCCACTGTGCTGAGTCTGGCAATATTTTAATGCAGCAGGAAACAGCTGGCTCAGCGTTGCAACGTATCACTGTTTTTACTTCTCTTTTAGTCTCTCTTCCTCCACTGGGATCATTATATCTGAAACTATCCCAATGACTTTGCAACATATAGTGTAAGTGTAATGGTTACAGATTACACTTGTAGAAGTGGGCAAAATGGTTAAAATTGTCTGTTGGGGTATATGGATCTAAGTTTACATAGTATACTGATATAATTCCAATAGTGAAGAAAATTGAGAATAATGAGCCTGGACGTTCATTATTGACCTTTAGAATAGTTTCACAAAATAATCTTATCTCAGGGTCCAGTCACTAGCTTTTTCCAAAGTTCAATATTTTCTTACACCCCTAGACAGGAATGTCTGTTTTGGCTAGTGAATGAAATACCTGAAGAATCTTCATACGTTTTACTGGACTTCTGTGGTGTTCCCATAATCCCACCGATTCTGCTGTCAAGAGATTTCATTTGAACTATCTCTTTTTTTAAAGTATAATATTTTTGGCCTTTATGCCTTTATTTGATAGAGAGAGAGCTGGAGATGGACAGGAAGGGCGGTCAGAGAGAGGGGGGATGACACGCAGCAAAGGGCCGCAGGTCGGATTTGAACCCGAACCGCTGCGTATATGGGTCGTTAGCTCTACCAACTGAGCTAACCGGGCACCCACTAGAACTATCTTTTACTGAAGAAATAGTCCTCATGAGAATTGTTTGCGGCTTGTTCTACGGATCCATTCACCTACATTTTGTGTTGCAACCTCGCCGCATAAAACTGAAACGTATGTGGATGCTTTAATACCACAAGCAGTGAGAAATAACGTGTTTTTTGTGATTCGAGGGAATTAAAACAAATTGCAGCAGAGTTTCTAAATGAGATATTATTAGATAATGAGAACACGCCAGTATCTTTTAATAATCATCTGTAGGATATACACAACTAACGAGGCAGTCTAAATAATATCACCATGGCTACCTTAGTGAGATTTTTTTGTATTTTTTTACTGTAGTACTGATAACTGTGTACTCATAGTACTGATTGTGTTATCTGGAAAGACAGGTGATATATGTACTCATATTCAGAAATAATAATAATCCTATCACACAATATATATTTTGTCCTATCATTCCAGCATGGTTTGCGTTAAAAAACAGAAGTTTGATTGATATTCTGTCGGAAGCGGGATTGAAATTGCTATAAATTCCCAGTGGCCCTAAGCCCTGTTTAGTGCCAGTTCACCTGTGTCACTCAGAAGAAGACGTTTTCCTCGTTTTACAGATGCTAATTAAAAACTTTGCCTGTCACAGTCATTCCCTGCTCTCAGGCTGTTTTTAGGTCCCCAAACTCATATCTAGGTTACAGTTTGATGTTTCAGTCAAGGCAGGGAGACAAAGAAACCCCCATGGGCTCATAAATATGTTTTGTCACAAAAAAAGAATGAGAGGGAAATGAGTTGATGAATAGAGATATGACTGAATGCGGTGGCAAAAAGCAAATGGCATGGAAACTCAACATGGGAGAGGATAATTTAGTAACAAAATGTGAAATAAGCAAGTGAAATAAATTGAGTTAAAATGATGCAGAGAAGTGAAACAGACTGTATAACAGAATAAACTATACAGCAACTGGTGTACCTTGGGGAAAGCAACATAAAAAAACATGAACTTCTTATCACTAAATGTGTTTGTAAACTGCTAATTATTTTCTTTAACTGTAAAGGAAACTTAAATCATCTGTCTCTCCTCTTCAGGCTTTGTTGGCGGTTTTGCGCGAGAGTCACCGCACCCGGACGGTGTTCCGCAAGGTGGGCGGCTTTGTCTATATCACCTCTTTGCTGGTGGCCATGGAGCGCTCACTGTGCCAGCCGCCGCGACACGGCTGGGACCGTGTCAACCAGAACCAAGTCTTTGAGCTTCTGCTCACCGTCTTCTGCACGCTTACGGCTGCCATGCGCTACGAGCCCGCCAACTCGCACTTCTTCCGCACAGAGATCCAGTATGAGAAGCTGGCCGATGCTGTAAGGTAAGGTCTACAATACAGAGCTAGTGATTCTTGAGATACTTGCAAAGATCACCTGTGTTCTTATAACATAAATTCATGGGTGTTTATTCAAACATTGTCTTTAGTGACCCGGAACTTATATTTATTTTTATCAAAGTTCATTCATATATTTCAGCTCCACAGAGTAAAAGCTTACATTTTAGCTTTGCTTCATTATTCCCAAACATTGAGCTTGATGGTTCTTGGAAATAGTAGTTTGACAAAACATTATTTTTAGCCATATCTATAGGCCTATCTTTAATTTCCAAGTTGTTTCATTGATTTCAAGGGGAATCCAACCCTGTGGCCTACTACATAGAAATAGGTCTTCATGGTGATGGTCTCTTTGGCTCATGTAGGTCATATAGAGGCATCAGGATTAAATTTAGACTGCTTCATAACCAGTTAGAAACTCCTAAGCAGGAGTCCAACTACCAATGAAAGCAATGAGATATGAGAAAATGATTTGAGAAAATGATGAAAACTAGTAATTATTTTTTTTGTCAAACTATAGATTTAGTGTTAAGTGGATCGGCTGCACCAAACATAGATTCACCTGACAGTTAGAAGGGTTAAATTAAATTGCTCAATCACTAAAGGGTCCCAACTACAGTAGTTGTAGTCCAGTGCAGATCTGGCTTTAATTTTGTGCTGCTTGAGTATCACACTAATGTAGTGTAGAGGTAGGATAATGCATGTGAAATGATGGTTGTGCTTTCTATTCAGTGATTTTCCCATTGTAGGAAAAGTCACAAGAACATCAAAGTCCAAAGAAAGAGTTTATTCAGTGCTTTCACTTTGTTTCTGTCGGTAGTGTTCTTGTCCTTCTTTAAAACCAAACTTCTCAACTTACCTCATGTTAACCAATTTTCTCTGCTTCCCACCAGGCTGCTGGGTTGTTTCTCAGACACTAAGAAGCTTGGTCCCACAGGCGTGTTCCCATCCAATGCACAGCCTTTCCAGAGGCTGCTGGAGGATGAGGCTGCCCCTGGAGGCTGCGCAGGAGACAGTGTCTGTCCCACTCTCAAACACTGCAGCAAGCTCTTCATCTACCTTTACAAGATGGCCACCGACTCCTTTGACAGGTCAGTGCCTTGCAGAAACTGGGCATTTCGACCCTTGAAGTAAAACGATTTTAATAGTGAAACTCATTCATGTAGGAAAGAGTGTGAAATTCTGTGCTGCTAAGAATAAATGAAAATGAATGGTTTGTTGAATGTTAAATGTATTGTTATCCTCGAGCCAAATACCAAAATGTAACCACCTGAAGTAGGAATTCAGTCTCCTCTGTTCACACAGTGGACAGAAGATGTGTGCATGTGTTTTGTGTGAGTTGGGAACCTGTGATGTATATATTGCACCATAAATCCGACCAAAAGTGTCAAACGCAACTTGGAGGCTGTTCTCTCTTTGCGTGTAGTCAGGCTATTGAGCTAATAAATTAATAAGCTTTAAGCATAGCTGTCAGCATACTTTCAACAAGTCATTTATTTACTGTTGGTGGTTTCATAAGTAAACAGTTTAATGAGAGTTTGTCTTAATGTAAAAGAAAGTTGAGGAGCCTTTAGTTTTAGTGCAGCAGATTGCTGCCACATGTTCCTTGAGAACATTTCTGTAGTAGATCAAGAACCTCACATTTTTCTCTACATGTTGGAGTTCTTAATAAAATCCTTACCTTTTTTTTTCCTCATGAGGGACCGTTATGATCATTTTGGCCACTATTGATCTTATGGTCTACTTTTTACTTTTAACATTTATCAATTATTTATTAACAACTGTGCTGTACAAATGCATTTTCAAGTGACCTTAAAAACTGTCTCAAGTGAGAAATTGTAATATCTTAAATCTATGCCGTTTTCCAAGATCTGCATTATTTGATTGTTATGATTGTCTTATATCAATATCTCAGCTACAGTGAAGATCAACACTAAGTATTTACAATATAATACTATAACATGTAAAGCATACAAAGATGCTTGTGAATCCCACTACAGAATATTGCAAAGTAATGCATGTTTTGTCCAAGTGAATGGGGCATTTGTCAGATGCTTCTCTTCAGAAATTGCTAAAGCCGGTCTACGGCTGTGTTTATCTTAGTTCCGACTGTTTTGATGCTGTTCTCAGCTGATTGATTACACTTGTTCACCACTGCAGTTAAGAAACTGCTGAATCATGGATTACAATCCTCTTTTTCCATTTCTTCCTCTTTGCCTGTTTGCACCACCTGGAGGTTACAATCAAAAAGCAGTCTGCACAACACATTTGCTGAAAGTTTCCAACTCCAGCTGTATTTAAGTTAAAGCTCTTGGTCATGATGACAATACTACACGCCCAGCTCATGTGTAGTTCTAGCTGGCGTCATGCATGTGCTCCAGCTGTAGCTCTGATCCTGTTTCTCCTTTCAGCTTTCCACTAACAGCTTCTTTCCTTCTTTTCTCTCTTTCTCTGTTTTTTCCTCTAACCTCTGGTGCTCTCTGGCTGTTCATCCTCGGCCCGGTCCATCTGCGCGGCTGCATGTGTGGGGGGTGTGTGTGTGTGTGTGTGTGTGTGTGTGTGTGTGTGTGTGTGTGTGTGTGTGTGTGTGTGTGTGTGTGTGTGTGTGTGTGTGTGTGTGTGTGTGTTTGTGTTTGTGTTTGTGTTGTGTGTGTGTGTGTGTGTGTGTGTGTGTGTGTACCTGTGCTTTTATGTGTGTGTGTGTGTGTGTGTGTGTGTGTGTGTATACCTGTGCTTTTGTGTGTGTGTGTGTGTGTGTGTGTGTGTGTGTGTATACCTGTGCTTTTTGTGTGTGTGTGTGTGTATACCTGTGCTTTTATGTGTGTGTGTGTGTGTGTGCGCGTGTGTGTTCATAAATCGTCTGCATGTGTTTGTATGTGCCCTCTTGTTTTTGGTGCGTATGTGCATGGTGCGAATGTGTCCATTTGCGTGTGCTCTTCTCCTGTGTGTGTGTGTGTGTGTGTGTGTGTGTGTGTTGCCATGCAGTCGTGCGGAGCAGGTGCCTCCCTGCCTGACTCATGAGACCTCGCTGCCCTCGCCGTGGGGCACGCCAGCACTCGCCAGGAAGAGGTAGCTACAGCGCTCTGCCACTTTCCTCATCCTTTCCTCTCCATTTTCCTCACCTTCACTCGACACTAGTGGCAAAATGATCATGAACCCTTCTGTCAGGTGAATCTTTTAGCTAATCGTGGTGCTTACCCTCTGTTCAATCACAGAGATGAGAAAAATAGAATGTTAGAAGTATTCCCATTTGGGCAAGTTTTTATTTGGTCAGCTAATAAAACCTTAAATTTGAGGTTTATTTATATTCGCGTTGGTACTTAAAAAGTGGGTGCGCCACTGACACACTCAAGCTGGCATCTTAAAATTGCTTTTTTTTACCAGACAAACCCCCAAAGATTCAAGTTACAACAAAAGAGCTGAAACATTTACTCATTTGATGATCTACAAAAAAATTAATCAGCAGCTTTTTTGCAAGCACAACTGCCAACATGGGCTGAAAACCTTCTTGGGGAGCAATGACTCCTCATGTTACACATCTTCCTCTGGAAAAATTGGACCGTCAGAACGGTTGGAGCAGTGGAAAATCACTGAATTAAATTACTCGTAAAGTGTATTTCTCCTGTCACCACCGAGCAGGGAAAAAGGTACAGACTCAGCCAGATTAGTGTCGCTCTAAAGTAGGCATTTTTCTTTTTCTCATCGCATTCCTCCTCACTCTCAGGCTCCTCCCCCTCCTTTTCTTCTCTTTTCTCTCAGCCGCCCCCCACCCTGACTCACACAAAAAAAACCCAGACTCTGCTGCTCTTTGAATTCATTTGCAACAGGAATAATGGTTGGGACATCTTAAATATACTCTGTTTAGTGAGCTATAATAACTGTCAAGGTGAAACTGGGGGTCTCCTCTCAGTAGTCTCCCCCGTCTGTTTGCCTGGCTCAGCTCCAAAGCTGCATATTCATGAGGAGGACTAATTTGACAATTAGTAAGGATGGAGTCCTTGTCCTTGTTTGCGTACTTCACTAAAAGCTCTTCTCTGTTCATTTAAAAAAAAAAAAACATTTTTCAACAAAAGGTTAAAGTTAAAAGGTTCTTTGATTGTAATGGGATTTTATGTGGATTGTAAACCAGTTTTCTGTTCTCAAAATTATTTCCGCATCCAAATGTCAAATGTGATGACATGGAGATGCTAATTGCTTAGGATTAGCTTAGTTTGATGCAAATAAAAACATCTCCTGTTATTTATTTTCTATCCCAATGAGTCTCAGCAGCTCCAAAACATCCTGTGCAATGAACTTTGCCTTGCAGAAAATGGCAGCAATTAGTGTTGTGATTATCAAGTTTGTGACACAGCAAGAGCTTGAACTAGATTGAACAAATGGTTTTAGTCCAAAAAACTAAACCCAACCTCTCTTTGTGTTGCACGTTAGAATGTTTCCACTTTCCACACTGAGCTGGCTAAATCGAAAAACACTGGATTAGTGTTGAAGGCAGGCCAAAATGAAGAGGAAAGACAGTTTTCAAATTCAGCCGACTAAGTTCAACTTCAAGCTGCGTTCCAAATTCCACTACTACTAAAAAGTGATAAAATAGTATACTCAAAACAGCTGGTACACAGACTACAAAAGTTCAAACAAGTTTCGAATGCTAGTAAAACAGCTTTGTGAGCACCCCAGAAAAAAGGAAATAACTATTGAATTCTTAGAAAGACATTTATATAGCTACTTGTTAAATTTAATTAGCAATGACCTCTTAAATTGGCTGTTTAATTTACATACATCAGTGCTCATATTGTAAAATTTCCTGGGAGTATAAACCAGTAATCAAGTGTTCTGATTTTATTTATTATGTAGCCTATCACAAGCCAAACTCAAGTCAACTTTATGTGTGGCTGGTAACTTTGTCCTTGTCTTGAAACGCAGCAGACAATAATTCAGAAGTCCGGCTATACTAAAAACAGTTAAAGTGGCTTCCAGCCACTGTGAACATGAACAACCCAGTTAAGTTTCCTGCTCCACATCCAACCCCTCCAGCACTTTATGCTGACTCCAGCCTTTTCCTGTTGGCATCTCTCCTGAGGGGGGATTTGCCACTCTGTAATTTGCATCGCAGCAACGTGCCTATTTTGTCTAATTGCCCGACTGCGGGCCCCAGCAGATCTCCTGCTCTGTGCTATTTGCACATGAGGAGGGCTCGGTGCTTTGAATGAAACAGCACCCGACTGACACCTTGACCTCTGAAGTGCGAGGATGGCTGACTCAGGTTAAATAAAGTTGGCATTAAGTGCAGTGCTTAAATTCAGAGATGTTATTATTTCGGTCCTCATTAAAAGAAAGTTCTCTTCTGGAAGACATTGTGAAAGTAAATCTGAGTATTTAGCAGCCATTTCCCTATTCTTATGTAATATGTCACATATTTTACAGTAGATTAGTGCCTCCAAGGCTCTGAAAGTGGCAAGATATCACACTATCACACAACACACAAAAAAATAGGATGATTTCCGGTTGTCAGAAAATCCTCATATTCTCATAACCATATTAACAGGTATCAGCAGCAACTTGACGCAACTGGACTAAATGTGACTTCCTCTCTCCCTGTGCTCCCAGACAAGGCTACTACGGCACGTCAGGCCCTCCCGCCCCTGTCAAAGCCCTGACAGACCTGAAACTCCACTTAGCCAACCCTTCCCACCCCACTTCCTCCTCGTCTTCATCCGACATGGTGGTCATCCACCCGGGGGCCGTCCTGGCCATGCTGGACCTGCTGCCATCCATCACCTCTGACAGCCAGCCAGAGGTGAGGGAACGCATAAAGGAAATGTGCTCACATGCACTTCCTGTTAAAGTGGGTGAAGTGTGGTTTTTACATGTCAGAGCCAACCAGACATGTATCTTGAAACAAAAATAATTATTGAGTACATTTTATGGAGAGTTAAATGAGAAATTGTTTGTTGAGAATGGCAGATTTTCTTGCAAATCAAGTAAATTAGATGCCTGAAAAATCAAGGTAACTTCAATGTACTGACACAACAATCCAATAGTAATAGTAAATATAATAGTGAAAACTACAATGCACCTGCTCTTCCTCCTGTTTTCCCTCCAGCATGCCCTGGACCTGCAGCTGGCAGTGGCCAACATCCTCCAGCTCCTGGTGAACAGTGAGAGGAACCAGCAGGTGCTGTGTGAAGCTTGCCTCCACCAGCGGTTGTTGCAGCGCTGCAGTCAGGCCCTGGGCGATGAAGACCATCCGCTGCACCCCCCACTGCAGAGGATGTTTGAGAGGCTGGCTTCGCAAGCCCTGCAGCCGATGGCACTCAGGTACTGTACTCGAAGCCCTAAACTAACAGTACTATAAAAGTACCATCCCAACTCCAGTGTTTTACCACCCTTTTAGCAACTATCAGTCTTGCATGGATGAAAAGTGATAGAGAGTAATGCCTGATGAAAAAAAATGTTATTACTTTCCTTATCATTTGTACACTGGCCACTTTGGTGCGTCTCGGCTTGTCATATCCTGTGGAGTTATCGACCACTTGCAGCGCTATAAAGCTTTTTTGTTTTTTTTATTCAATTTCTTTTTCTAAAAGTCCGATTTACAAAGGCTTCATGTGGAACAAAATCAGTCGGCACATTTTCTTTTCCTCAAGAAGTTTTGGAGAGAATTTAAGTAAACTTTACTGAGAAGGAAGAAATCTCCCAGACTAATAACTAACCGACATTAATGTCAACATGCATGTTAAAAGGTATTGGTAACATTTACCTTGCAACATTTAAAATTATAACATGCTAACATCTATGAAGTAATGTTTAATGTTAGCACAGAAGCATGCTTTTATGTTATTAATAAATCAATTAATATTATTACTTTTGGGGCATTTTATTGCTTTTATTTGATAGCTGACAGCAGAAAGGTGACAGGAAATTAAGGGAGAGAGCGCTGGAAAATGCAGCAAAGGTTCCTGGCCATACACAAACCGGGGTATCGCCACAATAATATGCTACTGTTCTTGTTCAAGCTAACTTTTAGTGATATCTATTGAGCTAAACATAGAAGTGAGATCCTCCAGTGACTGAAAATTACATTTGGGAAGCATAATCAGCTTTGACAGGTTTCAGTGTGTGAAGGGGGGCTATGTATGCAGACAAAACTGAGCGATTCTCATTTCCTGCTTGGCTAGTTAACTGAGATGAGAGGTTGGGGGTGAGGAACAGGGGGGAAAGTTATGTGACATGCACATGGATGGTTCTTTTTATATGTAAATGTGGCCTCCCTGGCTGCTATTCTCTACCCCCGTAATTGTGCTGGAGGTAAACATATCTGTAGCTGTCAATCTCTTCCCCACTCTCCTCTCCTCTCTTCCCTCTCTTTATTCCTGCCTCTCTTTTGCGCTGTCAGTCGTCTTCTGTCACTTTCCCCTAATGATTCTGCTCTTGGATCTTTCTGGATTTTGATACAGATGGGTGTCAAGTTGCTGTTTTTGATTTTAACAACTCATTAATCTAGTAAATAAGGGTTGATCTAAAAATATATATGCAAAATTAATTTGACGCTAGATGTCCCACTAGAGCACCAGCTCCTTAGACCAAAACAACCAGACTCAATCGACAAAACTAGTCATTTGACCTAGCAGATAATTATAAAACACATTTCAAATTGGACAGAAACAAAATAAAACTCACCAAAACTATCTCTAGTCTTTCCACAGTCTTTGACTCTGGTTTGGTCAGATAAAACCCTTAAGTCACAGACGCCGTTGAGAATAATAGCAGTTTCAGTCTCTCTCCACAGTTGTACATGGAGGGACTCATACACATGCAATGCCATACCGGAATAATAAAAAAACAACAGACTGTGATAGCAATCGAGGGAAAGGAGTGTGACGTATGCTCAGGGCGCCATTATGCCACTATATCTTTACATAGCACATAGTTATTTGCTGGTATATTAATGTTCTAAATGTCGTATGTATGTATGTATGTATGTGTGTATGTATGTGTGTGTGTGTGTGTGTGTGTGTGTGTGTGTGTGTATATATATATGTGTGTATATGTGTATATATATATATATATATATATATATATATATATACATATATACACATGGTGAATTATACTCAAATAAAAGCTGGTACAATAACTAGGCAAAGTTCAACAGAAATGATAACCATAAGTAACAGTAAATATTGTATTGCCATTTAATTTGGCCTCTGTATTTTTTGTCTTTGTTGGTATATTTTTATTCTTGACATCCTGATCATCTTCTCCTCCAGGGAGTTCTTACGCCTTGGAAACCCTCTGAACTGTGGTGCCTGGGACAAGAAGCTACTGAAGCAGTACCGGGTTCATAAACCGAGTTCTCTCAGCTACGACGCCGAGATGAGAAGTAAGACAATAACAACTCTCACACTAGTTCTGACCACAAGATAGTCACTGCGGCAGGGGTCTCAGAGGACATGCTGGTGTTCTTTATCAGATCTGTTTATAAACAGAACAATGGCCGACGTTCCTTCTCGGCCTTTATTTACCACTGAATAATGAGCTAGAATTATTTTCATCTTGGACTGTAGCTAGTCAGATTTATACGGATTGTAGCTGCAGTACAGCCTTCAAAACTATTGGGAGTAAAAGTTGGATATTTTTGTTGGTTATAAGCAGTTAAATAATAACAACAGCCAAGTCAGTTTTTCAGGTCAAAATGGTGCACGTTTGCAATGCAAATTTCAGTTCTTAACAACTGCTTTAATGCATTTTCTCGTGAAAAAAGGAGAAGAAATTCTATACAAACACATAGATGAGGGAATGGGGGAGAGAGATGTTGTTGACCATGTATTTCTATAACATTGGGATTTGAATTTGCGGGCAAAAATGCCTCTTTACAAGTGAAACTATCACTTTTTAACAGCTGAGAATTGAAGTCTATAGCAGTCCTCCAGTACGGTTATAAAATGATAATGTCATTTGGGAGCCATTCCCATCTGCCAGAGTGATGCCAGCTTCCTCCTGGGAGAAAGTTTTGTTCTGTACTAAAAGCTTGAAAAAAGGCCATCAATCTTCTAGCAATCCTGCTCACTCTCTTTGCTCACTCTCTTTGCTCACTCTCTCTGAGAGCTCATCGGGACGAATCCTCCGGTGAATAGGCAGTGATTGCAGAGGATGAGCTTTTGGTTGCCATTTAATTGCTATTGGAAATTACGAGCACTGGCTCGGCTGTGGAAAAGGGAGGGGGGGCAATTCTATGGATTTTGAGAATGGTTTGGATGATTGCAAAGTCAGTGGAACAGCCTGGCTTTAGCATGTACTTCAACTCCCTCACCAGAGTTGGCAGGAAGACTAGTCAGCATATATCACTGTTAAATATGATAAACTCCCTGCCTTGAATGTATACAAACATTTAGGTCAAAATACAGGTGCATATGAAGTAAGTCACACTGCAAACAGATAGAGCTGCAGTAACTGTTGAGCAAAGCAGCAAGTTGTAGGAAAACCCAAATTACTCCTCTAGGCCTTTGATTAATATCCAGTCGATGTGTAAACTCTCTGTTTAAACAAAGATCAGTCTGCCACTGTGACTCTAATGCAAATGGTTTGTTTTCTATTAACAGCTGTTAATGTTTGTAATTTTGTGGGCTCCTCAGCATGTCCTAATTGCTTATTGTTTCTCCTCCCAGCTGAGAATGGAGTCCCTACTAATTACTGCTCTTTACAAGCAGCCACTGTTAGAACACACTGTGCTATCTGTCTCTGTCTGTGAGACGATAATCTAGCATGGTTTATTAGCCACCATTGATACGTGTTGTAACTGCTTTGATTTAATTTGTCTTTGCCAGATGCGCTGACTCTTAACAAATAAGAAAAGCAATCAATGTTCTTAGAAGAAGGTGAAATATTGAACCGTAACCAGGAGTTTATTCTCATCCTTCTGGGAATATGAACATCTGGGCTGAATTCATACCCAGTGTTTTCTAGTTAGTTTTCCACAAGGTTTGATGCGAGTGACCAGTAACAAATAATCTATATTAGTTTAATTGATCTACTTTTCATATGATGTACCTTTTAAACAAATTTCCCAACCTAGTTGCTGGATTGTCACTTCCTGGATGTAATCTCTCCTTCCTGACTTCACAGACAGTATGACCATGTCCATGGAGGGCTTCGGTCCTGACAGCGTCTTTGCCACGCCAGCGGAGGACAATGGCCAGTATCGTATCAGCCGCAGCCTTGTGCGTTCCGCCGAGGGCAGCACCGTGCCCCTCACCCGAGTCAAGTGCCTGGTGTCCATGACAACGCCCCACGACATACGCCTGCACGGATCGGCCGTCACGCCTGCATTTGTGGAGTTTGACACCTCGCTGGAGGGCTTCGGGTTAGTCAGCATGAACATTAAAAACTGAGCTTGAGTCTTTATAGATGTGGTCTTCCTCTTGGGTACAGAACAACTCCACAACAAGCTGAAAAACATTACTCTCGTTCTAATGGCTATTATTAGCGTATGTATGCTAATGTGGCCAATATTTTGGTATTTACACATCCAGATACAGAGCAACATTTGCATTCATTCGGAGTTCTGTTTCTGTCCACTGGAGAAATCTAAGTTGAATATTTGCGCTCCTTTTAGGTGGTTTTTTTAGGTCAGTTCCTGAGAGAAATATCTGGCTCTTTAGCTGGTAAATGTTCCACTCTCTTCACCAGATAGTCGCTAACTTTGTCTGCCATTTGGTGTTGGAAGGTAGTTTTTTGCTGAAAAAAGGTGCTGATGCTGCTGGAAACAGGGTTGATGAGAGCGCTGAGACAGTAATTGTGCTATATAACTGAAACAATGAGCTAAAAACCTTCATAAAGCTGAGGAAGACTGCAGCAGAGTAGTTATTCTGAGCAACACCTTTAATTTTTCCATTAATTACATCTAGTAATTTGATCCATTGTTAAAAAAAAGAAAAGGGGAATTTAACAAACTTAAAGAATCAATAATACTAAGGCTAAAAGGATGTATGATAAATGGATGCAAGAGGGTTTAAACTACCCCTTGTTGTGATTTTTGTCTTCATTGTCTCCTTCAGAGCTCCAGGAGCGGAGCAGTCTTCATTACATGCCTTTTAAAAATGGTATTGCAGCCACAGATGATGCCACTCGTCTGTAAACCACTTCCCTCTAAATCTTTCTCTTGGTGGATCAATTTTCCTCACCAGTGACACACACCTCAGGGTGCCACATGTTATTTTTCTATGCAATTAAACAGGTGGTGTGTTTTTACCTTTTAGCCACACCTGCAACTGTCTCAGTAGGAGACCGTTATTCACCACCAGCTGTGGAGCCACGCATACAAATAGGCTTATTTTCCACTTTTTATGACATGCAACACTCTTTGCTGCGCTTCGTGGGTGCTGTTGCTGACAGGGTCCGCTGCAGCCTGAGCTATGTGTTGTATGTTAGCGGCACAGTGAATGTTGGGGTCAGTGGAAATGATGGCGTGTGGGATGTGACCTTGGCAAGTCGCCCACACACTTTTAGCAACACATACGAGACACATGCACACAAGTTACGCTGACACACAGTAAACAACTGTTAAGAGGGACTTAAGACTATGACATGTTACATTCTTCATTAGTATTCATGAGGATACAGGTTTAAGAAAAAGGGAGACGTCTCGCTAAAGGTCATTATAGACATTTTCTTTCAGTTTAGCAGCAAAATGCCAAAGGTCATTTCCTGTGATTACCTGACCAGCATAGAATTTGTAGATAGCATCAGTTTGATTAGGATTATATGTATATTATGCTGTTGTAGACTAAGGCAGCAGAGGGATGCATTATGAATTTGAATGAAATGTTAGACCTTCACTCTCCAAAGAAAACTCTTTGTTTGTTTCATTGTTATTTCGAGTGGCCCTGAATTCTTTGTGTGTTGTTCATCAAATACGATTTCAAGGGCCAACTACACACCAACTGCACTGCATAGTGTCATTTGATAGACCAGATTTGCCACCCATTTCACATGAGCCAGATTTGTCTTCCAGACAGAGGGTGTTGTCAAGGTACAGTGACCGGGATGTGCCAAATGCAGTCGATAAAATTGCTGTTATTCTGGAGCATATTCTGGGGAAATGGAACACTGACGTATCTTAATGCAGCAATAGGCATCATCCTGCGTCTTAACATCACTGGTGTGTTCAATTGGATAGAAAATGTATATCCAGCCGCACACACAGGTGTTTCAATGCATGTGTTACGCCGCTGACTTAATCATTTTGGATATTTTCTGTTGCTTTAGTGTTCGGTGCCTTCAACTTGTAGACATACACTAGGTGGGACAGTTAATACATCACAGCATCACAAATCAAAACAATTTACTTGCTTTTTCTGAAGCTTTCAACCAACCAGTCTTCATCAGCGGACCGAGTTTGCTCAGTATATCTCAGACCATGGGATGCAGTTGAAAGCTCCAGAAAATACTAGTAAGTGGACCTCGGGTTAAGTTTATTCGAAGGTCAAGAATGAGCTTTCACTCTCAGTATAAAGCAATCTGTGGTTTAATCTGTGGTGAATATCCATTGCATATGGTGAAATTTAAGGTTATGTTAAGGCAACATTGGTGTCTAGATTTTCATGTTTTAATGTTTGTCATCTCCTATTACTAATATGAATATATGCACAGAGTGTACAGGTTTATCTACTCAGATACTAGACAGAACAGACTCGTGTGAATTTTATCAGTTCTAGTTGACTTAATGAAGCATCTTTGATTGATCAAAACTTTAAATCTTCAAGACCAAACATCGAGATCAGTTGCCTTTGACTTACTACGTTTAGAAACCCCTCACCCACCCAGTAATCATATTTCCTGCCCTAAAATTTCTCAGTTCTCCTTTCTTTTACTAAAACTCGACGCAGCAGCCGCCTCAGAATAGAACATGGAGTTTCTCCTGAAAACACACAGGCAGCGAGGCACTGGCCCACTTTCTGCTCAGGATAAACAGAGGGGACACACACACACACACACACACACACACACACACACACACACACACACACACAGACATGCACATATATCTACACAGACTACCCCTCCTTTCTCTCCCATCTGTCACCATGAAATATTGATGCCTCTGCTGCTATTAGGATTCACACATAGTGCATATATCCGCTCTCTATCGTGCACAACATGCTTACACACACTCAAACACACCGATGCACACTCACCCAACCAGCCATCTCACCAGGGGCTAGAAAGATGCTATGCGTGGGTGTTTTTTTTTTTTTTTGTGAAGAAGAAGAATTAAGAAAACTGCCTTTCATTCTGACTGGAAAAAGAAAAATTTGTATTTGGCAAGCTTGTGAAATCCCGGGAGTGTGTTTTTTTTTTTTATTTTAGCTTAACCTAATCAAGGTGGTGACTAAAGAGGGAAAAGCAGCAGGGTGGTGCTCTTGTTAGTTAGTTAGTCAGACAGACAGACTGTTAAACCGAGGACCAGAGTGTCTGCCCTTAAGAAGTGTCCTTGACTAAGTCACTGAATTTCTGCCAGCATCAGGGAGGCTGTTTCGTAGCTGACCTCCGACCTTCCTGTCAGGTGGGGAAACAAAAAGAGGAAGCCACATAAATTAAAAAAAAAAAAAGTCATTTTGGGGCTCAATCAAAATACAATATTTATGTAGAGCTAATAAAAAGATCTTGTAGCAAGTGGATAAGATGTGGGGGTGCAACTAACATTTTTTTCATTTTTAATTTTTTTTATTGATTAATGTAATCTTTGCTAACAGTTCAAAACCCAAAGATCTTCCATTTACAATGATATAAATCACAGAAAAGCAGCAAATTCTCAGGTTAGAGAAGTAGGGAATGATTGATTGATAAACAATCTAGAGGATAAGGCTGACAGTATTCTTTATTTTTCTTATTTTCAACAAATCCCATTAACGGTCCAGTGTGTAGGATTTTAGTGGCATCTAGCAGTGAACCTGCAGATAGCAACTCCCTCACTTCACCCTCCCCTTCAGAGTGCCAAGGAGAAACTATGGTGGCGCCTCTATTTAGAGCTAGTGTTTGGTTTTTCTTGTCTGGGCTATTGTAGAAACATGGCAGTTCAACCTGCCTGTAGTTATAAACAGCTCATTCTAAAGTAACTAAAATAAGGATTCTTATTTTCAGGTGATACTTAGGTGTATTATATTCCATTTCTGCCAATGGATCCTCCTAAATGTTACACACTGGACCTTTTTAAAAAGCCATAACAATGAATCACTCATCAGTTATTGTTATTCTGATATATCTTATTTCTCTGTACCATAGAGCTCCATTACTGTCCAAAGCTGACATGAATGCACTCATGCACAACTGTTTTAGGAATTTACCTTTAAAATTGAAACTATATATTTGTGACCTTTTTTCGAAACATCATGCGTAGTTGTTTCAGCCCTAGTTATACGTGCTTTTTTATGATTTCAAGATCTTAGTTTTGACAGAAGCTGAGTTGTATTTTGCCTGCGCTCAATGTGATGCTAGGTTACAGGAGTAGCCCTTGAAGATTTGTGAAGAATTTCCTCTTACTTTGATTAAGGTTTTTTTGGAGAGAATTACATAAGAAAAATGACCTTTCTCTGTTTTACATAATGGAAGTTAGAAATCAGAAGGTATTGCAATTTGTTGATTTGAGGTAGACATAATTTTTAGTGTGTAGCATTCAAAAATTAATCTCCTGTATTATACATATGAGAGATATTTATAGAGGACACTCATATAATAGCTAATTCTATGTTCCCTGTTATCACGATAACTAGATATCTGTTGTCTGTCATTAAGGCTAACCTCCAGTGTGGTTCAGTCCGGGCCTTCAGGTTTCTGGTTGAATTTGCCACAGTCCCTTCATACATTTCATACATTTTAAGGTCATTTGTCTCTCAACAATGGAAAAAAACAAAACAAATCCCCAGAGCAGCACCAGTATCTTCAGAGCTGGTTCAGGATGATTAGAGTTGTGAAAAAAGCATCTTCACCAAGAGGCAGTGAGTCAGCAGAACAAAACGCCAACTCACAATTGAAATTCTCTGTACTTTTGTGGGATGATTGTCAGTCTTTGTCCGCTACAGAAATCCTCTAAAAACTGGATGACAGGGCTTACAGATGTCAGACTTAAATTTTTTATCAAACAAAATAAAGGTCCATCATATACCGTTTAATATTTGCTATCTCCATGTAGTTGCCATCCTTGTTTCTGCAGTTGCAGCTGTTGTATTATGATCAGTATCAGCAAATACATAAAACAGAGTACGAGCAGATTCTATTTGAAAAAGCAGCCTGAATGTGTGCTTTCATCCCACTTTTATCCTGGTCTCATACATAATTAATCCTTGAGTGTTAGGCAGTTGAAATTTCCATATTATAATACACAACTCCTGTGTCTCCAGTGCTTGAATTACCAGACTGTTCTTTGTAACTTCAGAGGAGTGTTTCTAATGGTTTATCCAAGGAATGGAGCCAGACTGCAGCAGTAGTTCAGCAGACCTGCAGTAAATCTCTTTTACAATAACAGCCTATATAAGCTGACAACATGTTGTGTATCTGTTACAGCTGTTTCCCCAGATTAATTAATCTGTCCTCTGTTGCCGTACGCAGGTGCCTGTTCCTGCCCAGCCTGGCGCCCCACAACGCTCCCACCAACAACACCAACGCCTCAGGTGTCAGCGACGGAGCAGTGCTGAGCGGGATGGGTACAGGTAAAATCAGCTTGACTTTTCTCAGTGTTTTTCATTGTACTAGGTTATGTTGAAGTTGTTGACTAGTTGCTGAACTGACAAGAAGTGTGTAAGCTAGCTGGAAACATGGTAGCTGGCTTGCTAGTTCATTTGTTGACTGGGCAGAAATAATTGTACTGTCTCACAACTGTCTGCAAACCTTACCTCTGTATGGACAGTTTATATTCTGGTGAAGCAGGCTTTTATGAAATGTTATGGTACAACATTGGTAACATGATACTTCCTTCTTCTTGACTTCCCTGTGTAAGGTTTGCAATTGTGTGAATGCACGTGTCAAAGTTGAAACCAAATTTAAACCCCACATAAAACCTATGAGTTCATTTTTGTGGATTTACTACGCCCCCATGAGCCATTCCGCAGATTATGGGGATTCCACTGAACTATTCTTTATATCATGGTCTACACTTTTGGCTAAATATATAGCCAATATATATCAAAATAAACAAAGTCCAGTTAAATCCAGTTAATTGAAAAAACAAAACAAAGAATCTTGAAAAGAATAAACAGAAGACACTTATTGTAGAGTTAGTACTTTGCCTCTTTGGGGGAATGGAAGTCACCTGACCAAGAGAGCAGACACCACCTGTGCAGTCTAAGGGGCCCTTCAAAATAAAAGTCCATGCCAGAAATTGACCACTCTTCCAATAATCCTTTTCTTTCTGGATGATGTTCACCCGTACAGAATCATTGATGTAATAAGTTGTTGCCAGTATCCATTAAGGGAAATCAACCACCTATAACCAGTTGTGACACATGGTATACATCATTCTTCTAGCAGGTAGAATGAGAGCCAGTTGTTTCAACAAAAGCAGTTGTCTTTAGCAATGACAGAGTCTCGAAGTGCGACTGGTTGGATTGTTGGAACATTTCATTTGGCTTTTCATTTTATTCAAAAGGAAGAACATTGCATAACCATCATAAAGTATTTTAATTTCAGAGTGGGATTTAACCACCAACCAGCAGCCAATTTCTGCTACATTTTTGTTACTTTAGCAGCTAGTTTGGCAGACAACAAATTGTTAGATGGCAAAACAAATACTTTTGTTTTTTTTCGTGCCCCCATGGTATTAACACATTCCATCATTGTTTCAGAAATGATCAGGGACATTTTTGAAACAGTAGGAATAGATTCTGCCGATTAAAATGTTCACATTTATCCCTGCTGCACATAATAAGACACAGTAAAACAGCGGGCGGCCGGGGCTCAGGAGGTACAGCGGGTCGTCCACTAATCAGAAGGTGATTGATTTGATCCCTGGCTCCTCCCACTGCATGTCGAAGTATCCTTGAGCAAGATACTGAACCCCAAATTGCTCCCGATGTTGTGTATGAAAAGTGAGTTTGTGATGGCCTTTGCCATTACTGTATGAATGTGTGTGAATGGGGGAATCTGGCACGTTGTGTAAAAGTGTTTTATTTTTTCAAATGTTATCGTCATTTGTGCACAAGTAAAAACTACAACACCTAAAACCCAAACACATAGCCGGCCCATGTTTCACTCCCCTCCACGATGCAAAGATTCATATCTGCAGTTGCAACCCTCGTCTGTCTGCTGGCCTTTAGCTTTTAGTTTGCTAACTGGTTATATAGTGTGTTTAAAAACAAATCTGTTTGTCACTAAATGCACCATAAAAACGCAATCATACCAGTAGAGATTTTTACAGAAGAGGCTTTCGTAGACCTGAAGGCAGAGATAAATTTAATGTATGACGTTACGGTTGATTTTTCTTGTCGGTAGCCTCATTTAGTATTTATGAAGCACAGCTAGACTCTTCTTTCTCCTCTCCTCTCTCCTCTCCTCTCCTCTCCTCTCCTCTCGTCATCTCCACATCCACTCATACATTACTATTCTCCATCTGTTTACCTATTCATCCGCTCCCTCTGCACCCACTCACCCCACGCTGTCTCTTGTCTTCTTCAGCCCAACACTATTTATAGACCTTGCGCTTTCCCTCCTTTATTTCTCACTGTCACTTACATGTTCCCTTTCTCTGTCCATTTTATCTCTCATCTCAGTCTCCAACCTTCTGTCCTCCTTTTTCTTTCTTCCTCCATCCCATACTCGTTTACTCGCCTTTACTGTTTCTTCTTTTCCTTTCCCTGCACGCCTCTCTATTGTCACTTTAGGTCCCCTCCTTTTTTGCCTCATTTATCTCAATCCCCTTCCCTCCTCTCCTCCTTCCTTCCCCGCCTCCCTCTCCTATCCCACTCCTCTCTGACCCACATCCTTGGATGACATCATCAGGAACCTCATTCATCAAAATATCCTCAGTCTGCTCAGTAACTCATAGCACCTCTGTTGTATAAACCATCTAGTGATACACATAGGAAATAGATGAAAGAAGTAGATGTAATTCCTCTAACCAAAGTATCTTGGTTCCTGCAGCAGATCTACTGCAGCATTTTCACATCTGAATCCCACGAGTCCATAGTCAACTCCACAAATAACAAGTAATGCAATGGTACCAAAGAGATGCATTTACTGTAGCTTGTAGTTGGATCTGTCCTCCAGTGAGGCCTAATACAAAAATCAATCCATGCTCAGAGCAGGTGGTGGTGTGCCAGAAGACAGTGATGGTATTCTGGCCAATTTTAATTTGGTCCAGTCTTATAAACTGTTGAGGGACAGCCTGATCCCGAGGCACAGTTGTGAAGTGTTAGTTCAGCTGCAGGACAATGTGGCTCATGCTGCCTTCAGATTTGGCAGCTCAGTCCAACACAGTCTCACTTATTTTGATGTGGCTCCATAGTTTTTGCTTTATTTGATAGCAGCACAAGATATTATCTGCCTAAATCTGCCCTGAAGGCTGAGTTTTGTTCTGTAGTTGTGTCTGACAAAAAGCTATTCTGTATAAATAGTCTTGACATAATTTATTTTCCAGAGATAAAGTGCTGAAGCAAAATAATTACAAACTTGCAAAATATAATAATAAGCCAAAAACATTATGAATGAATGAAATTAATCAAAAACTTACTTATAGGGGTGAGATAAGATGACTCAAGGGGCTTACTGATCAAAACTTCAAGATCATAAATAGCATTAAGACAAAATGAGAGTGATATATTAAACTAAACTAAAATAAAGTTAAAGCTGTTACGCATGAATAAATTCACATTACGCACTTGTACTTGTTTCTGCAACAAAACGGGAATAAACATGCAGTTTTTCAGAGAGTTTTTTACAGTGGAAACCCAAAATGCTGCACACAACATGGTGTGTGTCCTATTTTACCCTGTTCATTGTAACAATATCAAGGTTTGCATGTTATGGAAGGTAGCACTTCACTTTGGTCTGTTCATGTCGTTTTGCAAATCCCAGAGCAAAGTGAATGAACAGATCATACTGTAGTTGTCTCCACAGTTGTAAAAACATACTTTATAAAAATATATATATATATATATATATATATATATATAAAGAGAATTGCACCAATTGGTAATCTATTTTCATTCCACCTCTTTCACCTCCAGGGGAGCGCTTGTTCCCTCCTCCGTCAGGCCTGAGCTACTCCACCTGGTTCTGCGTGGAGCGTTTCAGTACAGCTCCTCAGGCCCACCCGGTGCGACTGCTGACCATTGTCCGCCGGGCCACGTCCTCGGAGCAGCACTATGTCTGTCTGGCCGTGGTTCTGTCCACCAAAGATCGCTCGCTTACCGTCTCCACCAAGGAAGAACTGCTGCAGACCTACTGTGAGTCCAGTAGTGACATTTATTTATTATTGTCTGTGGTGGTGACTTTGCTGTGAGTGAAATCAACATATATTCTAAGCCATTGAGATATTTAGTATGTTTGTGAAACTTGACATGCAGACACTATGGTTTTTGAATGGTTTGGTCCTGTGCATATTGTAGTCATGATACATGATATGATGCATGTTCTTAACGATGGAATTAATCATCTCAGTGTGTATTTGAATTTAGGAACTGTTTATTGTATTGCAATGACAATACTACGTTTTTTAAGTATTGCCTTGTTAATGGTGGGTTTAGAGCAAAGCAAGAGACAGAACAACAAAGGGGAGGTGGTAATGTGACGGAGGTCTGCACATCTATGACACCTTATAAAACTGTCCCTTGTGGGATTTGAGTCAGTAACCCAGAGGGAATGTTTTTAAGTCTGCCCCAGCCCCCTGACTCATCGATATCGCCCCCCCTGCTTCCCTCCCCCTATCAAGCAGCGGACGAGTCGAGTGAAGAAGCCTCCTTCTATGAGATCCTGCCCTGCTGCGCTCGTTTCCGCTGCGGCGAGCTGATCGCTGAGGGCCAGTGGCACCACCTGGTGCTGGTCATGAGCAAAGGCATGTTGAAGAACAGTATGGCTACGCTGTACATCGATGGCCAGCTTATTAACACTGTCAAGGTAAAGTTATAGACTGAATTATATCATATATGAACAGCATCTTAGGAAAATTCTTCCTCAGCAGTTTGCTGGACTCATCCTTTAATGGAAATACTGACACACACATTGTACCAGGGGGGCAGCAGATACTGTGAAAGTTATTGTTGAACATTATTATTACTGAAATCAGTAATCTATTTACAGTTCTGTGCAGATTATAGATTCCCAAAATAGGGCTGCAACTAATGATTCCATATGTGATTTGTCTGTTGATTATTCTTTAAGCAAACGGGTTGTACTGTAGTTTAGTCAATGTAAATGTTAAAAAAAAAAAGATTAAAGGCTCATTACAGATTACTAAATCCTTAGGAGGTGTCTTCAAATGTATCTGATCAACAGTCCAAAACCCAAAGACTCAAACAGAGATAACTAGCAAGTCATCACATCTGAGAATCTGAAACTAGAGAACGTTTGGTATTTTAAATTGATTTTATTTTATGTCAGTCAGCTTAGTGATTGTTCAGCCTTTCGTTTCAGCACTATTACAAATATACAGTCCCTTTCCAAGAGGATATGTTCAGAATATGCTGATGTGCATTATTTCCTAATCTCATTATCATATAACGTTGATGGCTACACAGTAGACAATAGTAGAGTAGATCTGACAGTGCATCATTATTTCCCTGCATATACCAAAAGAAGCTGCTAGTGACTGGTTGTGGAGAGCCGCCCCAACCGAAGATTGCACTCATTTTAAGTCACTCTAAGGCACAGTGCTAATATTATAGAAAATAGAATCAGCAATCAAGTAAGTAATTGGAATTAGCAGTTATTTGCTCTTGAGTTAAATTAGCTCAAAATGTTCAGATCACTGACTTCTTCTTTTGATAAAGAAGAAGCACAGAAATACATTTCTAAACCAGAAGCGCAGCAGTCAGCAGACTTTGATGTGGCCGTGGTTTAGTGACTTTAGATCCCCCTGAGATAAGAGAGCAGAGCAGGGAAATGGCTCGGCAGACCGCAAGTCTCAGCTTCCTCTCAGCACCCCTGATAACAACAGCTTCATTTCCTGCTGAGGTCGTCATTCTGGAAACAACAAGCTGGTCATATGTATCTTATGCGTCTGTGTGCATGTAAGGGTGTACTTGTGGTTTTTATGTCCCCTGTCAGTGGGTGTAAAGCACAAATCTTCTGTATTAAGTATGAAGTCTCTAAGGATCCCTTGGGTGCTCTTGATAGCAAAAATCCACCTACTAGCAAGAACAATAGTAGCTTTCATAAAGCTCATGAGTTCTGACCTTTGATTTACCCATCTCTAACATATGGATGTTGTTGCAGTGAGTACATTTGAATCTTAACCCTCTGTACACCATTAGCTATCAAAGCTCCACTATTGTGTATCATTACGGGCTGCATATCAATCTTAAGATCATTTTTCAACTTTTTCAATTATCAGAAAATAGTGAAAAATGGCCGTTACAAGTTCCCAGGGCTCAAAGTGTTCCCTCTCCTCCAGCTCCACTACATCCACAGTGCACCAGGCGGCTCCGGCTCCACCAACCCTCCTGTGATGAGCACTGTGTACGGGTACGTGGGGACGCCGCCTGCCCAACGCCAGCTCTCCAGCCTGGTGTGGCGTCTCGGGCCAAGCCACTTCCTGGAGGAAGTCCTGCCTGCCACCAGCGTTGCTGCCATCTATGAACTGGGACCCATCTATGTGGGCAGCTTCCAGGCCGTCTACCTGCCCTGTGAGTGGTCCTTTTTTGTTTAATGCTCCAGGGGGGTGTGCAAAAAAGGCTTAAGTTCTCATCTTTAAGTGTCACTCTTTTACTCTACCATCTTCTTCTGTTTGTCTTTTTCTATCCTTAATGACATTTTATACTTACTAACCTTCCTTTTTGTAATTGTATCCCCTTTCCTTATGCATTTCTGTAAATTTGTATCCGTTTCTTATCTTTATGTTTCCCTCGTCTGACTTTTTATCGTCCCAGGTAAAGATTCAAAGACAGAGGTAGCACCTACCTCCCCAGTGGCTTTGGTACCAGAGGAGAAGGTGTCCTTCAGTCTCTATGCCCTCTCTGTCTCTACACTCACCGTGGCCAAGATCAGGAAAGTCTACAACAAACTGGACAGCAAAGCCATCGCTAAACAGGTTAGACACCATGCTAGTTTTGTGTTTAATTAAAACCACTGTCCGTAGCATTTCAGAATTTACAACTTTGACAACTTTGTTAAATGGAAGCATGGAGACTGAAAAAAATGACACTGAGATGAATGAGCTGAAAGCATTGTCTGGTTTACTGTCAGATATACTATAAAAGTAAAGGACTTAACCAATTTCATCGAAGTCCTTTTCAATCGAGACACAACTGTTAGTTAATTTTAAAAGTCCAAAAAATGAGAAGCTTTTGTAGAGCTTGTTTTCAGTAGCAGATATGCTTTTTATTAACTTACTGAGTGAGTTGGAAGAGTCTGACTGAGTGGAGGATGCTGGAGTGTTGGGCTCACCGACTTACATTACATCATGTCAGACTGATGTAACTGAGTGAAAAAAGGAAACAGCTCTTTTCCTCAGCCACAGTGCAGTGCAGTGATGTCTTCAGTGCAGACCTTTAGCAAAATTGCAAAGTTTGCAGAGAAGAAAGATTTGTATCTTAAATAATAAATAAAGATCCACATAAAAAATTCTGTGGAGGTTTCTATTGCTCACTCTCTATTTATAAATGTAAGCAGGCACACACTCACACACACATTCAGGCACATATACAGACATACATGCATTTGCATACTGGCGTGCAAAGGTCAAACTCTCTTCTCTACAGAAAATATGCATTCAGTATACTTGCATGGATGTTCATTCACACACACACATATATATGAATTTACACTGACTAACACACCATCCTTTTATCCCACCAAAAGTGTGTTGGAGCTCCAAATGAGCTCCCTCCTTCATCCTTATCTCTCTCCCCACCTGTCAAGTTCTTTCCTAGCCTGCTCTGCTTTCCCTGCTGAGCCTCGGCCCACGACGACTCACAGGAAGCAAACAGAAAAGAAGTGCAGAGGCAGCATTTCTGCTGCAGTATGGACCTGTTGTAGAATAGGAAGAGAGTGGTTTATTGTACCAGCAGTTAAGAGAATATATTAGCGTTTTTGTTTTATTAAAATTCAGACTGGAACATTATTTTATTTTATTTTATTTTTTCTTATTAAAGCTAGGAAAATGCCACATAAAGGCAGTTCTTACAATAATTTTCAAACCTTTTCACTTGCTGAATTGGCCGTCATGTTAAAATGAATAAATATTAGAAATAAATACAGTATTATTAAGAAAAGAAAAGAAAAAGGTTGTCGAAAGTTCAGACAACCACAGACAGCCACATCCACAGCAAACAGTGTTCAAACCCTACACAAAACAAAAGAAATCTATAGGCAAAGAATATATGGGATAAATATGACATTTACAAATGAGAACGTGTAAGGGAAATGGCTTAATAAAGCCATAAAAAAGTGTGAGTCTGTGTGTACTTTTTGCTTGGGATATTTTTTACTGAACCAGTTCTTCCCCCCGTCTTTAGCTCACTGTGTCCTCTCATGAAAATGCCACTCCGGTCAAGCTGATTCATAACGCTGCCGGCCACCTCAACGGGCCAGCGCGTACCATTGGAGCCGGAGTCATTGGATACTTAGGTAAACCAAGTCTGTGAAACAACCCATAATAGCAGCAACAAATACTGTTTTATACAGTATGGTTGTCAATGCTCAGAGACTCATGAGATTGGTTTGGTACAGTACTGTATTGAGCTGCAGAAGAGGAACATTTACAGGAGTCACCAAAACAGTCCGAACTGCATTTTTTAAATAGAAAAATATATTTTATGAGCCCTCATCTTGTGATATTCATAAAACAAAAAAAAAATCATCAAAAATATAAAAATTAGCATTTTATCCTTGAGCTCAGCATGATGAATGTAATTTGAATTTATCATATTCACTCTGCAGATTTTTTAAAATTAAAATGCACCTTTCCCTCTTTTTACCCCCTCAGGAGTCCGTGCCTTCGTCGCCAAACCTGTGGCCACCAACCTGCAGTATGTGGGTGGGGCGGCAGCCATCTTGGGCCTGGTTGCCATGGCGTCAGATGTGGAGGGGCTGTATGCAGCTGTCAAAGCTTTGGTGTGTGTTGTAAAAAGCAACCCGTTGGCCAGTAAGGAGATGGAGCGCATCAAAGGCTACCAGGTTAGATACAGTTTAACACTGGTCACATAACAAGTTTTAATATTCTGGATTTTTCCTGTGGCTGAAAATAGCAGGTAAACAAACACTCATTTGTTTGTCTCAGAATTTTTTTTATATTTATAGTTTTATTTTTATATTATAAGTAAGTAAGTAATAAGTTCCAGACTTACAGTTCCAGAGGTTTATACATCCACTTAGGTTTTACTTTAGCCACCAGCCACTAGCCTTCCTTCAAATAATTCTTAGTTTTTGGAACCTAATTATTTTAATTTGTTCAAAACAAAAACGTGATGCATTCAGAATGCAAAGAAGTATGACTGTTAAAATATTTCTGCTGTTGTCCGTCCCTTGTAGCTGTTAGCTATGCTGCTGAAGAAGAAGCGCTCGCTGCTCAACAGCCACATCCTCCACCTCACCTTCTCTCTGGTGGGAACAGTTGACAGTGGCCATGAGACCTCCATCATTCCCAACTCGACTGCCTTCCAGGACCTGCTCTGTGACTTTGAGGTGAGCACTTAGGGGGCCATATGGAACCACTATGTCAGTAAATGCATAGTGGTAAAAAAAAAAAGTAATTAAATTCTACAGCATTATTGCAGTCCAGCAGTTAAAATAACTTAGTCTGCAATATTGGCAGCTGACCACCCATGAGCATCTTGTTCTACTTATAGCCCTACCTGGCTAATGAATCTGTGAGAGTTGCGGGTATGTTTTGTGATGTACTGTCTGCTGTGACCGGATGAGAAAGAAGTTTCTTACTTGGCTGTTGATACCTTTGAGAAACTGGGCCTCTCTGTGCCAAGATGCGACCTCTTCTTGCCAGCAGTTTGCTTTGCCAAACACAACTTGTGTCGCAGAGGTCTCAGTCTGCTCCTTCTGCTCCTCAGGTCTGGCTCCACGCTCCCTACGAGCTCCATCTGTCTCTGTTTGAGCATTTCATCGAACTGCTGACAGAATCCAGGCAAGTGTCAGAACTTTCTTTCCTTGAGATGTGCCCGAATAATAAAAAGTGATTAAATAGTGAATCATAATGAATATTATTTTATTGAAGTTATTTAGCACCATTTCTTCCTTTTTGATGTCATCATTTCAGTAAAGAAGCTGATCCAACTGTGTGTACCACTTTCTGTATTTAACAGTGAGGCGGCTAAAAATGCCAAACTGCTGAGGGAGTTTCAGCTGATCCCCAGACTGCTGCTGACCCTGAGAGACACCTCACTGTCCCAGCCGACTGTAGCTGCCATCAGCAACGTGCTCAGTCTGCTGCTGCAAGGCTTCCCCAACCCATATGATCTGCTGCGGTAAACACATATTCTAAACTTGTTCCTTAAGCAGGAGTGAGATTTCCCTAAAAACTGGGGAATGGAAAGCAAAAACTCAAACAAAATGTCCTTTTTTGTTTTTTATAGGTTTGGCCAGTTCATCTCCTCCACTCTGCCCACGTTTGCAGTGTGTGAGAAGTTTGTCATCATGGAAATCAATAATGAGGAGAAGATTGATGGAGGTAACTATCTAAAATAGATAAGTTGTTAGCTGTATCAGCCTGTTTTGACCAGTGGAATGAATGACATTATTTCTAACCTGACTGTTGAAAACTTTCTTGTGTCTGCAGGTAATGATGATGATTTCGGCGGTCTACTGTCAGCCAACCTCATTCTGTTGAGAAACCGACTGCTGGACAACCTGCTCAGACTGCTTTTCACCACCAAAGAGAAGTGCTCTGTCAATGCCCAGTAAGACAAAAGTCTCCTCCCATATCAAATGTGTTCAAATGTGAATATCTCGATCTGAGAAACATTTTTACCAATAAAGCAAAGCTCCTCTGTTCTTCTGTTCTTTTCTGGTCTACCAGACACTTTGCTCAGTCTGCAGGCATTAATTAGAATGCTTACATCATTTTCACTTACAACGTTACAACAAAGTAATCTAAGTATAATATGAATATAATATAATAATTAATTAGACTGCATGTTAGAAGTAACACTGGCTGTGGACCATCTGTTGACCCCATGTGCTCTCCGTCTCCCCCTGCAGGGCCTGTGAGGAGATGGTGCGGACGCTGGGCTTTGATTGGCTCTTGATGTTCATGGAGGAGCACCTTCACTCGAGCACGGTCACTGCAGCTCTGTGGATCCTGGTAGTGCTGCTTTCCAACCAATCCATCCTCAACCGCTTCAAAGAGGGCTTGTGTGGAGGCGGCTGGCTGGACCACACCGATTCTGTCCTGACAAATAAGATCGGCACAGTGCTGGGTGAGTGCTTGAGCCTGGGGTGGCTTCATTGCCAATAGTGGCAACGCAGTTAGCGAAACAAAATCTGACACACTGTATTCACAATCACATTCCCTAACACAAGAGTCAGAAGCATGCAGCAATAATGTGCAGTATGTATACTGTATGTTGTAATATGGCTCAGCAGACGCCTCTCCTCATTCTGGCAACGCTTTCCGTCGGAGTTGGCCTTCATTCAGTAAACAGAAAGCTGCACAGTTTGTGCGCCGCACAGCCAAGGGTTTGTCTTCTTATTTTTTGCCTCCCTGCACTCCCTGCTGCTGTGACCATAGTGCCTCCTGAGCTCAATGGTTTTCAACCTTGTCAGTTATCATTTTAAGTATTTGCAGGTATAATTCACTATTTAAACAAATTGATAATAAAAATATAGAATATGCTCACAAAGGTGTAATATTAGATTTTTATTTTTTTATTTTTTTACTTTAACTACATTACCACGTCACCAATATCATCTTACCAATCTACAGGTTGAGAACCATTGACATTGCTTATGAAAGCCTTGCTGAGTAGCGACATGGCCTAACAGAACTACCACTGCTGTAGCATTGTCAGAATGTGTGCTCTCAGGTTGAAGCCTTTAGTTTCTTTTAGATTTGGAGTTTGTCATCCAGCTCAACCAAATCCTTATCTTTGAAGGTATTCTGTAAGCTCATTTTACGATTTAAATCCTGCCTCAGTTAGAAGATTACAATCCTGGGTTATTACTATAACCACCTCCTTGATACATCCCGAACCATGTACAACAGCTGTATTCAGAGTTGCCAATAAGTGCCTTAGTCAGTGTGGTAATGCCACCCATTTACTTCAAGCAACATTCACTCCTCAATTTACTGTCCACCCCCCCATCCCCCTTCTTTAGGCTTCAATGTGGGCCGCAGTGCTGGTGGGCGCTCCACGCTGCGAGAGATCAACCGAGATGCTTGCCACTTCCCAGGATTCCCTGTGCTGCAGACCCTGCTGCCCAAACACACCAACGTCCCTGAGCTCTACTTCCTGCTCATGGCGCTGTTCCTGCAGCAGCCTGTCACAGAGCTGCCAGACAGCCTGCAGGTACATGTTAGTATACCCAACCTTTTTTCTTTCTCTACATTTTACTGAACAAATTAATGCAGATTCTTTTTTTCTCTAAAAATCAGTATCTATGAAATTCAAAAAGTAGACTTCATTTATTTATTTTTGAAATTAAACATTTTCAGAAATGATCCTCCTTTGGGATTTATGCAGTCACAAATAGTTACAATATTACATCTGAAGCATGTACTGAAAGTGGCATTTCATTACATGTACATATCATTACATATGCTCCATACCCTCGAGAGGCTGTGTTTACATCTTTTTTACAACTATGTTATTTGTCAAGGGGACAAACTCTTGCATACACCTCTATAGGGTATTCTACTATACGCACTTTTATCTGGCATTGTTAACAACAAATCAGTAGAAAAAACTGAAATTCATCAATTGTAACTTGTAACCACATGTAGAGTTTGCCACAGAGCCCTGACACCTGATCTACAGATATTAGCAGCACGTAGATGGAAGAACACACATGCAGCTTGTTCCAATGTAATACCCAATAATAATATGTAGTGTGTATATTACCCTAGTGCGTGTGTGTTTTTGTCTTCTCAGTTTGATCTGGACTCTATCTGGACATTTATCTTTGGCATGCCGGCCTCCAGTGCGACAGTAGTGAGCTCCATCCACAATGTGTGCACGGAGGCTGCCTTCCTGCTGCTGGCAATGCTGCGCAGCATGCTCAACCTGGTGAGAACCACCATTCACTCTACACTCTGACAAAACCTTTGGTTCTTCATAAATCCTTCTTTGTTATTTTCAAGAAGAACATAATTATGACGGTAAAAGCCCAGAAAAATATTAGTTGAAAAAAATCCAACAGAATGAAAAAAAAATCCCTAAAAACCTAGAATGAAAGCATAATCCAGCTGTCTGTGTCGGATGTTCTACAGTATAAATTCGTAATTGGAGTTCTCTCAAAACTTGTTTTGTTAATGAATGTACAAAACAATTATTTTTAATTTCTCAACATTCAAATTGCATAGGCAATGCTTAAGAGAAACCTCTTTACCCAGAATTTGACTAATTAAATCCAATACCTTTTTCCAAAAGCAGATTACTTTTGAACACACACGGAGCTTATGTGTCTTGAGAGACTCTTATATGTGAGAGGTTTCAGAGGGGTCGTTTGTCCTTTTCAAGTGGTTGCTTATGTTGGATTTCCCTGCAGTTGCTTGCCTGGATTCCTTAAAGACGTCTTCTTAAACTCCATTAATCCAGGAAAAATGACTGGGCACACATGCTGTTTTTCTCCTCACCCACGCACTCACACCTGGGAGTTTCTCAATAAATCGCACTGTGCTCACTGCTGGTTGCTGAGACAAGCTTCACTCAACCTCCTGGGAACCAAGTGCCTCACTGACGGCGCAGGCTTAGATCCTCCAAACTAGTCTCTGATTTAAACTAAAAAACTAGCACCACTGCTTTAGATATGACGTTTGAATAAAAAAGGTTCAGTCTAACAGTTCTGTCTCTTACAGCCGTGGCAGTCAGAGGAGGAAGGTTCCTGGCTGAGGGAGTACCCGGTCACTCTCATGCAGTTCTTTAGGTATCTTTACCACAACGTGCCCGACCTGTCACCAATGTGGCACAGTCCTGATTTCCTCTGTGCTCTGGCAGCGACTGTCTTCCCTTTCAACATCAGGCCCTACTCTGAGATGGTAAGCCTCCACATTTTCTCCCCCGAAATAAATATGAAGCCAAATTTTTGGAAGAAGTGAAGAAGCGATAGGAAATCTGTGACCTTTACTGGTGACTGTAAGGAAATGCAGCAATTTTAATAGCACTTCACCTTCTTCTACACAAATCTCTTCTCTCAATACTTTAAGTTGAAATGCACGAGTTGTTTTTGTTATAAGACTGGGAGAATGGATGTGGAATCGGGTTTACAAGCAAAAAAATCTAATTAGAAGAGCAAGTAATCACAGGTATTGATCAGTAACCCTATCAAGCCACTGCAGATGTATTGTGATTCTATCCTGTGGTGCAATAAATACAGTAAGTTATTGCCCCAATGGAATCTCCTTGGAAATCATGGGCCCTGTAATTACTGTAAACTACTGCAGTTTGAAGAACATAATGCAAGAAGAAAGGGTGTTTTCAGACAGTTTACCTTCAGATAATTCTCCTGCAGAGTGCCAAGCCATTGAATGAAGTTATTTGTTAGTAAAACATATCAGATGAAAGAACATGTACGAAGCAAGGCTGCACTGTAGGATAGGGAATTAAAAAAATTTCTCTAATTTAAACGTTTGTATGGTTTTCTGCAATAACATATCATTATTTTTATCCTGTACCCTGGTTAAGTGCTGTTTTGTTTTAACTGTAAAAACATTAAAACTATTGACAAACTGTCTTTCCATCTGTTCCAGGTCAGTGATTTGGACGACGAGGCCGGTTCCCCCACCGAGGAGTTCAAGGCCTTTGCCGGGGACTCGGGTATGAATCGCAGCCAGTCTGAATACTGTAACGTGGGCTCCAAGACTTCCCTGACCAACCACCCAGCCAAAAAGTATGTCTTTGACTTCATGAGGGTCCTGATCATGGACAACCTCTGCATGACCCCGGCCAGCAAGCAGACACCCATCATTGACCTGCTGCTGGAGGTGAGGAGATAACCAGGGTGGATGGACACAGAATTTATAGATTTCAATTATCCCATGTAGTGCCTTGGAGAACACATAATCACCTATAATTCTGAATAACTAAAAGCATGTTATTACTTTTAAGAGTTTTCCCCTCCTTGTTTTCAACTGCAAGCAAACCCATAAGCTTGTTTACTCACCATAACTCTTAGTCAATAATGACCCTAAATGTGTATGTCTGTTTTCTGGTACTAGGCGTCCCCTGAGCGCTCCACTAGAACTCAGCAGAAGGAGTTTCAGTCCAACATCCTGGATGGCGTCATGGAGCACCTTCTGGCTGCTGATGTCCTTCTAGGTCAGAACAAAGGCATCACCCCTCATACAGACGGACCCAGCCTGTCTCAAATTGTACAATTAGTAGATTCATTGTGTTCCAGCATTATATAGTTTTAAGATAAACATAAACCTTCAAACAATTTCCTCATGCTGCTGCTCACTGATGTCTTAGCTTACTTTAATGGTTCACTACCGGCCAAAGTGGCTATTGACAAAAATAGCTGATGATTATGCAGAAAATGGACCGGACGAGCATCCTGCAGGACAGCTTGGACCGATTTCTTAGTTGGCTCTGTGAGATGCTCTCATGATTGCATCATGAGTCAGCAGATCACAGCCTAAAGCCCAGATAACTGCAAGTGTCATCACCATTTTACACGGCTGCTTGTGTTATATTTAGACTACAGTGTGTAGTCTATTGTTATAAATTAGATACATGTGGGCATTAATTATAAGACCATACAGCAAATGTGTATTTAATATGTTTTTGTCCTTTAAATCACCTTTGACCTCACCTCTAAATGTACCTAAGCTAGGGAGCTATGGTTCAGCTTGTTTTTCAGTATATAATCTATTATCATTTGTGTTGACAAAGGCATAGGACTCTATCACTCCTATAAGTCTCAAAATACCAAAATTACAATAACTCTTTGAAAACAAAACAAAAAATATCAGCAAAATTGTTGTAAAATAGTTTTTCTTACAGTTAGAAGAAACTGGTGACGAGCCAGTAGAGAAACACTCACTTCAATATCACATTTCGGATAAATAATTTAAAGCAGATGTTGTACATGGCTAATATATGTTAACCGCCTCTCCCTTGCTGCTCCTCTCCATTCAGGTGAAGATGCCTCTCTGCCCCTCAGCAGTGGTGGCAGTTATCAGATTTTGGTCAACAATGTGTTCTACTTTACCCAACGTGTGGTGGACAAGCTATGGCAGGGCATGTTCAACAAGGACTCCAAGCTGGTGGTGGACTTTATTGTACAGCTCATAGGACAGGTAAACTGCCTTTAAAAATTCTTGAAGGTCATAAAATGGACAGATGAACCCGAATGGTCAATGGAACTCACATGTGTCACAGAGACATCAATGGACTCAAAAAACACTGATTTTCCTGCGTCTCTCTCTGGCTGTGTACGGTTTCCCCTCTTGCACTTTCAGGATGTTGCTAGAGGCTGAAGACTTTCTGAAGCCTGACTACATTTACAATAGAACTAATGGCTGTTTTCCTGAGTCAGATTATAGCAGTCAATTTTATCACACCCAGCAAAATTAAACAACCTGCATTATCAGACTGGGCGCTTTTCTCCAGAGCAGCCGGAGGCAAACAGACAGCGTCTGTGTGCTGCCTGCAGTGGATGAAGAAATAAAGCAGTCCTTCTGTGAGTCTTCTTCCAGTTAATGTAACCAGTGAACACTCTCAGGATTAAATTAGATAAGCAGCATCCATCTGACTGCAGGCCTCATTTGCTCATTTTAGCCCGTGAAGGCACATAAATTAGATACGACTGTTAGTCCCTGACTGACTGACAGGTGTGTGTTTGTGTGTCTCTCTGTATGTGTATGTTGTTTCTGTGGAGTTGGATGCATGTGAATTTTCTTCTAAATATGTATTGTATGTAAGATTAAGTTTATATTTTGGGTTATTCTTGCTTTTACTGAGAAAAATAGAAATGTTTTTGTAAATAATCCTTTGTTTTAGCTGTCCCGTAAAGTAGCTTGATTGCTTTGAGACTTCTCAAGTAAAGTCATGTGTGGGGACTTTTTCTGCTTTTCATGCAATGCTTTCTGTGCACACTACTGTGCAATTGAGAAGATTAACAGATTATGCTCTGAAATTAATTTTTCAAACCTTAATGTGCCTCTGCATCCTGGTAAACTGTTCTTAAGTCATGTCTTTTCATCTATTTATCTTGTTTTTGCAGCCAGACTATTATATATATATATATATCAAATTAATGTAATATCAAGGACAACTCCAATGTATCTCATGCACGTCTTTACTGCACTATAACTTGATGTTCCCCCAGCAATCAGAACATTCACTCTAAACACATCTGTACAGGTAGCAGCAATTGTGTGTTTTAATCTGTCAAGTTTTGTTGGAAAGTCTTTTCATTTTCACAAATATGTTTCCACATTAAGTCCTTTAGCAGTTTTCTTCTCAGACACTAAAACAACAACACTAGAATAACAAAGCTGCATTCACAACCCTCTAACTACTTAACCCAGTTCAACCCGGGTTGCTCAAACAAATCTTCTTTCTGCTGAATTATTTCTACAGCAGCTTTATCCATATCCAGAGCACAGCAGAGAAACAGCCACACAACTACGGAAACAAAACGACACATCTCTTTTCTTCAACTGTATTTCTCACCTTTCTCTTGTTTCAGCACTTAACTTAAAAATACTTTCCATCTAACCTCCTACACCTGTTTGTTTTCCTGCCTCCTTTCCTCCTCCAGTCCAAGAGGCGTTCCCAGGGTCTTTCCCTCGACACCATCTACCACTGTCTGAATCGGACGGTGCTCTACCAGCTCTGTCGACCCCACAAGACGGTAGCTCAGCAGGTGGCCCTGCTGGACGCCCTGCGGGTCCTGACCGTCAATCGTAACCTGGTGCTCGGGCCGGGAAACCACGATCAGGACTTTGTGGCCTGCCTGGCTCACTGCTTTATCTGCCTGCACAGTGGGAGGTAAGGGGACATATGGCTTGTCTGGTGGAGGGTCTGTAATGTCTTAGGGTTGTTACTAATTTGATTTTTAAATAAATAAAATATTTTTACTTAAGACATGCTTGGACATAGACTAGTGTTTTGACTGTACAGTTAAGAAAAAATTCAAAACCACCTCCTGCCCATCACACATCAACACTAGGAAGTATTTTTTCAAAATACATACATACAACAACATTGTTCTGAAATTTGTCCAAATCATGGCAGAGGAAGGCGTTAAGCACGGCTTCTCTAAAAGGACATCTTAATGGCTTAATGTGTGTGTCATCAATGTATTGCAGTAGTGATGAGTATTTACGTGTAAAGCAGTTTGTTTAGCGTTGCAGCATGTAGCAGTTAATGAGCAACATGAACATGAACATAAAGCTTTTACCCTTGTTTGTTATGTCAGAGGAAAATCTGTCCAAGTGTTACATTTGGTTGTGTGAAGCATGCATTATTCATAGCAGACTCATCACATAGATCTGTGCATGTACTCTCAGTGTGGAGGATGAGATGAAGAATGAGCTAACAGACATGAATCATAGCAATTTTTCTTTCTGAATCATATTGGACTAAAGGATAGGAATGAAACGGGGTGTAAGAGAAGAGCTGGTGACACTACCAAATGAAACATTTAAATTCATATCCAGCCTTGCCATTTCTCAGGAGTTCAGCTAGTTAACTTAGCTCACATCTATTTAGTTAGACTGAATGCGAGTGTCACGAATAACGAGTAACCACCATTTCTACTCTGTAATATATTTTTTAGTGGTACTAAGTTGTTCTTCGGTTCCAGACATTTAACTCTGTGAGATTATCTCTGAGCAGCTCTGCCTCTGAGGAATGTTTGTGCAACTTGAACAGCAGTTTACCACAGAGTCTCACCTGTTTTTCCCCTGACTCAGACTGTGTTGTGTTGTGTTCACTTGCACGCCATTGGAGGTGTAATTGTGGCAAGTCTCTTTTTCTTTGTGCTTGTGTGTGTCCTGCCAGAAGTACGGACAGCTTCCCAAACTACCATGCTGGGGACACAATGTGCTTTAACACAACACACTGCACAACTATAGAGAGTAGACTTATCTGCTGCAGAGAAGCCAAACAATCTGACTCCCTGTTTTCTCTGCAGTAGCGTGGAGGGCTTCGGTTTGGAGGCGGAGGCCAGGATGACAACCTGGCATGTCATGATGCCCACAGAGAATGAGGCTGATGCTACGCACAACCACGACGTCAGCGAGGGTGAGACACTGTTATATGTGTGTATGAGTGTCGAACCTATTGAACCCTGCTGACTGATTTTGAATACATATTCAACCGTCTGATTCAGTACTTATTTGAAGCAGTCTTTGTCGGTGGTCTTGAGTAAAAAATTATTCATTTTCCAGCGTAATCAAGTTGAATGGGCTATTTTTTTGGGTCATTTTAAGCAAATGCCATTTGACATGAGACAACATTATGTGTTACTGCGACAGAAACTCGTGTGACCATAATTCACTTTAGCAAAATACAATCCCCTACAAGTTTCAGGGTTTTAATACTTATTTAAAGTAATATATTTTAGCATGTTTGTGTGTATGTTATTCAGTGTTTTTGTTGGAACAAGTGTTTGTGTGAGTTTGCATGGAGACTTGAAGTGTATTACAATCTGGGAGACAGAAGTATTGTAATGAATATGTCAGGCATTATAAAGGAGTTTTACAAATGTTCCACAAATGACAGCGTTGTTCAGACCAGACTGATAACCAATTTAATGAGAAACAGTCACACAACAGCGCTGTACTTTAATGTCATTAAAGCAGACGGACTTGGTAATGAACAGTGATTATTGTCCTCCCTCTGCAGGCCGGCAGCTGCTGCTGAAGGCAGTGAACCGGGTGTGGACAGAGCTGATGCACAGCAAGCGTCAGATGCTGGAGGACATATTCAAGGTGTCCCTGCCCTGCAATGACAGAGGCCACGTGGACATAGCCACAGCACGGCCTGCCCTGGAAGAGCCGGCCCTGAAGAGCTGGCAGAACCACCTGGGTGGGTGACATTGGGAAACACACACATACACACACATACACACACATACTCACACAGACGTCACAACACAGACTTGCTGGATATTTCCTGAGCCATGTCTGTGTTGGATTTGTGGTTTCCTTTTCTCCCTGGGAGTGAGTGCTTATCCAGATTTACATAACTAGATCAACTATTTTGGAGCTCCTCTTGTTGTTTTGCAAAATAAATACTTTAATCTGGTGCTCTGCCAATAGGGCCTATTATTGCTGATCTGTTCTCTCTCCTGCTGGTTCTCTCCCTTGTGCTCATCAGTGTTGTACTTTTGGTATGTGGCTGGTAGTAATTCACCACTCTTATATCGGCAAATTTTTGACCAAGTCTGCTCAACCAGACTTTTTTTTGTATTTCCAATGAAAACAAGACCGTGACCGTGAAAAAGCATCTTTTACCCAAATATTGTCCTTCACTTTCAGAATTCAGACTTATATTTGCTTTGTTTGGCAGTTTTTACCACAGATGCAATTTTAAGCAAAAAGAAGAATTAAATATACATGATACATTTATTCTGTCACCATCTTACCTGATTTTTCTTGCTTGAAAGTAAAAATGCCCTTATGTGTCTTTTTATATCTCTTTCTCTGTTGGTCAGTCCACGAAAAGAAGTGTATCAGCCGTGGTGAGGCAGTGGCACCAGCAACCCAGTCCAAACTGTCCAGAGTGAGCAGCGGCTTCGGCCTCTCCAAGCTGACAGGCGTGCGGCGCAACAAGAAGGAGAACAGCCTGAACAAGAACAGCCTGTCCGCACAGGTACACTTAAACACAACTGACACTCACTGCGCAGCTGTAGTAACATGTACAGAATTTCCTTAAACTATGTGTTAGTCAGCTTTGTTTTATTACAATCTTGTATTTCTCATTAACAGGAGACTTTCCAGTGGATGTTCACACACATCGCTGTTGTTCGAGACCTGGTGGCCATGCAGTACAAAGAATATCAAGAGGTACCACACATCATACATCAGTAACAAACACAGTGGGTGCAAGAATTCAAGCTGGTTTAATGGATATGATATAGTAGAAGTACAGTTACACTGAGAAACCAGCTGCAGGACAAAACAACAGACTGTTATGTAACATTGCAGTCAGGATGTTACTGCAGGACCGTATACACAATGAAAACACAGTACAGGTACATTTTCACAGGCTGGTGTAGCAGTTGTGACAGCATGTATAATTTATAGCAACATTTTGTGACTCACCACTCACACTTCATCCACCCCTCCGTCTCCCAGCGGCAGCAGAACGCCCTCAAGTACGTGACCGAGGAGTGGGCGTCAATCGAGTACGAACTGCTGCGTGAACGGGGCCTCTGGGGCCCACCCATCGGTTCACACCTGGACAAGTTTGTGCTGGAGATGACAGAGGGGCCCTGCCGGATGAGGAAGAAGATGGTCCGCAATGACATGTTCTATATCCACTACCCATACATCCCTGAGATAGAGCCTAACACAAACTCTGGACAGGTATTCATCTTTAAGTTTGGATTTATATATTCCTGTAATGCCCTACCACACTTTTAGGTAACATAAAGGGAATCATAGTTACGATTCTTTTTACAAACAGTTTTTAGGAACTGCGTCTTTTCTCCAGTTCTGTTACCTCTTTTGTGATATACAGTGAACGGCAGTATGGTTTTTATTTTTTAACAGTGACACCAAGAGAGATAAGATAGATACTTCTAGTTTATGTACATTTTATAAATTTAGCTGACACCCCGATCAGAGTAACTTACACTAAGAATGACTGCAGATAAAGCCTTCAATACTTGATCACTAACTTTTCTAGCGACTAAAGTCACAGGGCCATAACAGTAGAAGTAGCAATATTAATTATTTATTTATACAATAATCCTGTTAGCTGTTAGCTGCAGCAGAAGCAGTCTATGAAAGCAAGTAAAGGATCATATGTGAGGCCATTGATATACTGGCACAAACACCTGTATTTAAAATAGCCTTGTCTGTAAATATGACATCCCAGAATAGAAATGTCTTATAAATATTTTGAATAAAATGTGGGGAGAAATACATTTTTTAGGAATAGTTTCCTCCATTGTGTCTGTAAGTTCGACCGATCCCTTGCAGAGCAGTGAACTTGTAAGAATAGCTCTCCTGAAATAGAGCTCTTGGACTAGCTCATCGGTGTCATGTGAGGAAGTGAGCTGGTGGCTCTCTTTTCCTGGCACCACCGAGACACATTTAGCTTTGTTTGCTCTACAAATAATCCCTCCTCTCTGTTTGCCAGTGGGTGCCTCGCTTCTCTCCACAATGATTTATTTGGTCAGGAAGATACAAAGAGATAGCTCACAGGCATACCCGTTTAGGTTTGTATTTATGTCAGCTTTCCAAAACACAACACATGGAAACTCATAAACTAAATTTTCTTGATTACCAACAATACAAACAGCCAGAGGTGATTAAAGAAAAGTTAAAAATCATCATCAAAAATCAAAATCATGCTCTGGCAACTTGCTAGATGGAATTGGATTAACGAATTAACAGGATCCTTTTTAACTCCAATTTCCCTGAGGCCTAATCAACATATATCATGTATTATACATCATGTATCTTATCCTCCATCTTTTTACATTCTCTAGCCCGCTTCACCTCCTCTGGTGCCCCTGGTAACCTCAGTGGCCTCAGTGGCCGGGGTTCTTGACCGTGCCCAGGTACCTTGCTGAAGTCCACAGGAGCTTGAGCTCCTGTCAGTGCCTGGCGTGACTGCATGATAGTAACAAACATGCTTTAAGAGCAAATCAGAATCCTATTAATCATGCAACTGTTGTAGTTGACAGTTGAAGCAACGTGTAAATCTGTTTTTGAGGCCGTATGCGGGTTGAAAGGTGTTTGTTGTAAATATGATGCTTTGCTAAACTCCAGGAACAGGAAATTTCCTGGTGCTGTTATTAACTTCTTGTCGTTGTCGTTGTGTGTATGTGTACATTTGCATGTGAACATGTATCAGCTGACCCAGTGCATACATTTTGCTGTGACTTTGAAGTTGTTTTACATCCAGTATTAAATCTCCTAAAATACACAAGAGAATAAAATGCATAGTGTGACTATCAAGATAAAAAAATTCATCCCAGGTACTGTACCGAAAGTGTTTACATGCACATCAGGTTATTTGTGTTACAGATGAGGCTGATGAATTACCATCATCTCAGCTGTTGTTGTTAGTTTGGACCTCACATCTACTGTATGTAGGTCACAGCAAGAGAATGACTATGATGAAACTAACCATGACTGATAACATTTAGTAATTTTTCTTGTGCGCAATGTCTTTTGCATGTAAGTGTCCCAGCTACGACTAAATATGATAAACTTTGATAAAAGACCTGGCGCTGATGTTAATGCACTGCTTCCAGTAAATGTCTTCTGTGTAGTGGTGGTTCTGAGAACAGAAATCTCCTTTAATTCATGTATTTGGTAATTTGCCATAATATGCAGGCAAACCATTCTTGAATATTATTATAATTTTAAACCTATGAACAGCTTTCCAAAGGTGTTCCCCCTTGGGGATGGTGTAAGTTGTTCCTCACCTACTACTCTTTCTACGCCCCTCTGCAGAAGCCTCTCCGTTACCGGCGAGCCATTAGCTACGACAGTAAGGAGTACTACGTACGTTTGCTGTCTGGAAACCCTGGCATGTATCAGCACTCTGTGGAACACAACACAGAGGGAGAGACCACACAGCATGAACCCGAGCACGGAGAGGACACCATCGCTAGAGTCAAAGGTACACAGACAATACCAGGAAGACACGATATGGTGTCTAACTTCAGCAGCTGGTTAGGAAATCACAACTTGGTGTTTTTTGCCACAAACGCTTCTTTCTGTTAGTGTTCCTTCACCTGAAATCCCTTTCAAACATGTTGCTGCTCTTTGCTCTCCAGGCCTGGTGAAGGCTCCTCTGAAGAGGTCTCGGTCCACAGCGGATGGGGCAGACGAGGACAGTCAGGAGCAGCTTCAGGAACAGCTGTTAGAGTCAGGAGGACCTGAAGAAGAGCAACGGACCGACAACACGTCCCTGCTGCGCCTCCTGGAGGAGGGAGAGAAGGTCAGAAAGACACACAAAAATAAGATTACACAATCAAATGTATTTATTTTCTTTAAATAGATAAGGACATTATTTAGATAATTATTTTATGTTGTTTGGTGGAGAAATGTATTTAAGTTTATCTGTGTAGAAATATGTCAGTGTTATAACATTTTATATTATTAATTAGATTCAGGTTGAGTTTATCTATGCATACTAGAAGTAGTACTTTTGTATCAATAATTTTTAATGGCATAGCACTACCTTTCTTTAACAATGTCACACTCTGTGCTATCGCTTTTTCCAGAGGTTTGGAGCAAATTGCACAATTGTTTGGAATATATTATTTTTCACAAATAATTTATTGAAAGAACAGCATGAGCCCACACAAGCAATTGTAAACAACATGAAAATATGACTAAAAATGCCAAACTGCAGTTTTATTCTTTTCAACAAAATACACTTTTCCGTTGCCTCTATTAGCCCAGATCATGTTTAGTCACATGATATATACATAAGATCCACCATCCTTTTAATGAGGTACTGCTGTGGTCTTTCTGATGACCACCTAGCAGCTCAACTGCAGCACCGAGGGATTCAATCGTTTCCTCAGGGCCATCTCACCAGCAGCTACTGAGTAAGGGGGAAGCACAACTCCCTACTCATTTATTCGTTCTTCACAGATAATTTTTTTTTTTTTGCCTGGAGGAATTTAAATGTGACTTTTCATTAGAAAACTGCTTTCTCTAAACTTTGGGTAATTAATGCTCTCCTCACTGTTCCAGATTCAGCACATGTACCGCTGTGCCAGGGTGCAGGGTCTGGACACCAGCGAGGGCCTGCTACTGTTTGGGAAAGAGCACTTCTACGTCATCGACGGCTACACCATGACTGTGTCCAGGGAGATCAGGGACATCGACACTCTGCCCCCTAAGTAGGTCCAGGCTCCTGTGTCTGTCACTTTACATCAAGGTCTGGACACCTATTGGAGAATCACAACTTCACACCTGGGTTGCATAATTAACCCTGAATAGATGACACGGTTAGTGTACTTTCCCTCCCTGAAGAAGAGATGACATCATTCCTCTGGACGCTGCAGTGGGAGTTTCTGCTGCTGGAATGATGTAATGCAGCAGATAGAGCATGCGTTGTGAAACTCAGCAGAGATATTACATATTTATCTTATTAGGGAACCAGCTCTGTCTTTTCCTCTGAGACACACTGTGAAAATAACCAACAGATGCCTCTTTGATTTCACTGTGTTCCCCTCAGGTGTTTTACTAGTCGACCCTCTGATCAATCCTATGCAGTCAAGACATGCTGTCTTCAGGGGCTGCAATGGGGACTCAATTAGCTTGTTGGTCAATTAAGAAAAACATTAAATACTTCATCATTCATCAAATAAAAATACAATCCTTCTTCTTATGCTGGCAGTTAGTCAAAAGGACTATTAGCTTGCCTTCTCTCACTGTAAATGCAATATTTTGTGATGTCCAAACAAATTTAGTTTTAGTTGTTACATTTTAAAATCAAATTAAACACATTTAAAGCAATGTAAGTCTTTTTTAGATAATTTATATACTAAACTAATTAATAAATACATTTATGAAAACGATTTCCACATTGATTTATAACGAAAGTTAATAGTTAACCCTAGTGTCTCCTCCATTTTGTTAGTTATTTTTCTTATATATGTTTGTATAGATACCTTAAGATTAGATCACATTGGTAATTTTTCTTTGACTTAAATATCATGATGTTTTTTAGCACAAGGAAATAAATTAGCTACATTTTCCTGTAAGGGGAGCTTTGAATATTTGTGATGTGAACTTATAAGTGCTTTATGGGTAAAACTTTGTGCAAAACTAAATGCATCACTGTCTGTTGTCTGTCTGTATCCAGCTTGCATGAAGCCATCATCCCCAGAGGAGCGAGACAAGGACAGAGCCAACTGAAGAGAACCTGCAGCATCTTCGCCTATGAAGACATCAAGGAGGTGCACAAGAGACGCTACCTGCTGCAGGTCAGTATACACATATGACACATACATACACACACACGCTGTGGCACCAATAAACCCAGCACACAGCTTTGAGTTCACACATTTATGTGCCATTTATAGCGAGTAGCTTAAAATATTTAGGGTTCAATTTTAATGCTTTAATTCACTATGACAGAATTTTACACCACAACTTTTATTTCTAGTGTTTAAGTCACCACCTTGTGTTTTTTTATTATTAAATGCCCTGCCCTGCACCTTTCAGCCCATGGCAGTGGAAGTCTTCTCAGCAGATGGAAGAAACTACTTGTTAGCCTTCCAGAAAGGAGTCCGCAACAAAGTTTACCAAAGGTACTGATGCATTTAAGTAAAGGAAAGAATAGTTTTATAAAACCTTTTTGATAAAATGTTCTTGACCTCTTTTCAACCTTCAGAAATTTGATTACTAATACGATTTAGTTAAGGACAATGAATGCAGTTTTATTTGATAAAAGACTTTGGTAGTCAAAATTCAGGGTATTTTTGCTGAAAAGAGGGATTTTACAGAGGTTACTTCTGTGGGATATTAAAATAAAATCCTCTTATAAAGCGTCTTGTCAGTATAATATTTCTGCTTGGAGTAGATCACTGTAATACCAGTATTGTCATTTCTGTCAGGTTACACTGGTTTATATGCAAGGAAAGACGTTTCTGTTTTTTTCTAATTTTATTACGAATTCCCTGCAGGTTCTTGGCCGTGGTGCCTTCACTGGCTGACAGCTCTGAGTCGGTTTCAGGCCAGAGGCCCAACACAAGTGTGGAACAGGGGTAAGACCTCCACTGTGCTACATTCAGCACAAGCACTGTCCTACATACATTTTTTTATTCCACTGGTTCTCTGGGAAATGCTTTACCTTTTTTGGAGGTTGTGAAATGATTTATGGAATGTGTGGGTATATATTCATATGTATTACCTTGTTTTTAATCTGTGTGTTAAATGCATTTTCCTAAATATTGGATGTGGGACTCTGTGGTAATGAATCAAATAGTGAGCTAGAAAATAAAATAAAGAAAAGGACAACATATATCATGCAGCGTTTGCTTTGTGAGGATGCTTTTCATTGTCCACATGCTAGAAAACAGCAAAGTACTGAGCTGTTTCAGCTAAAGATCCTCTCTGTCCTGGTGTTTTTCAGATCTGGGCTCCTTAGCACACTGGTTGGTGAAAAGTCAGTGACTCAGAGATGGGAGGTATGAACCTAGACTCGGTCTAACACCAATGTTCCGTTTAACAACACAAAATGAAGAAACGTCATAATATAACACTGATGTGTTTACTATATGTTTTCCAGCGAGGAGAGATCAGTAATTTCCAGTACCTGATGCATCTGAACACGTTGGCAGGACGATCCTACAACGACCTAATGCAGTATCCCGTCTTCCCCTGGATCCTGGCCGACTTCGACTCAGAGGTGATTGCAGGGTTTGGGAGTACAGCCGTGGCAGTTAGCCACAAGAAAAGTACACGCCTGTTCCCTCATTAATCCAGTTATGGTAACGGTGGTGATGTTTGTGTTGCTTAACCAGGAACTGGACCTGAACAACCCCAAGACATTCCGTAACCTCGCCAAGCCAATGGGCGCCCAGACTGACGACAGACTGACGCAGTACAAGAAGAGGTACAAGGACTGGGAAGACCCCAACGGTAAGAGTTGAATCAACAAACGGCATTTAACAGGATGCAGTCAGGGAGATAACTTTTATTTATGTTATTTCAAGTTAAAGACTTAAAAAAAGAGCCAACTAAATTTCAGTTTGTTTTACAAATTGGCAATAGGACTTCAGACCCTGCAACAGACAGAGCCAATGTTACCAGAATGTGGCACAATTTCTACCTTGACCAACCTGAACTGAACCTTCAAATTTTAAAACACAAAAAATAGAATAAGGTTATGCTATGCCAGATACTTCTTTTGGTCCATTGATTACCCATAATTTCTAATCATCAGTCATTACTAATGTTCTGAACTCTGTCAAAGTAGTGTTTTCGTTGTAACTGAATGTGGTGTTCTCTGTCCTACCAGGTGAAACCCCAGCATACCACTACGGCACCCACTACTCATCAGCCATGATTGTAGCCTCTTATCTAGTCCGGATGGAGCCCTTCACACAGATTTTCCTCAGACTTCAGGTTTGAATACCAGTTTTACATATGAAGATGGATGGTGTTTTTTTCCCCTGGACTCATGGAAAATATTATCGTCCAACAAAAAATATATTATTTTACTCTTGTAAGTTAACATTAAAGGCCTGCTGGTGCTCTCAAGTGTCTGTACCTGATGTCAAACCATCTGCCTGTGTGCTTGTGTGATTACCAGGGAGGTCATTTTGACCTGGCTGACAGGATGTTCCACAGTGTGCGTGAAGCTTGGCTCTCTGCCTCCAAACACAACATGGCCGACGTCAAGGAGCTCATCCCCGAATTCTTCTATCTACCCGAATTCCTGCTCAATTCCAACAACTTTGACCTGGGTCAGTATCAAGAAGCGTGGACAATAACAGCTAATTAAATTCATAGTCAAACTGACCGAGATAATTGAGTGCATGAATATTAATGCTCTGTCTGCCATCAAATTTTGATGTGCCAGGTGCCAAGCAGAATGGCACCAAGCTGGGTGACGTCATCCTGCCACCTTGGGCCAAGGGTGACCCCCGGGAGTTCATCAGAGTCCACAGAGAGGTAAGAAATGAACCCACTTATGTCAGTTCATATCAGAGTTTGAGTCAGTATACATTAACCTCTGTCTTGTCTTCCCGGCTGCAGGCATTGGAGTGTGACTACGTATCGGCCCACCTCCACGAATGGATCGACCTGATTTTTGGCTACAAGCAGCAGGGTCCGCCAGCAGTGGAGGCAGTCAACGTCTTCCACCACCTGTTCTACGAGGGTCAGGTGGACATCTACAACATCAACGATCCGCTCAAGGAGACGGCCACAATCGGCTTCATCAACAACTTTGGACAAATACCCAAACAGGTACGAGACTGGGAGTTTTGTGGGGTGATGGACTTGACTGTCCTATGTTCAGGCTGTGTTTGTCTTTTTATAATTTATCATAAAGAAAGACCTTGATCAGAAATTAAAGATACTGGTCGATGTCTGAACACTCAAAGCTTCCACAGTTGTGCTACTGTAGTAGTGCTGTTACTACTTAACTTACTACCACTACTACCATTGTCACTACTGGTAATATCATAGAACTGCTACGGGCTACTACTACTTCAGGCTAGATTAATGCAACAGTCTCATGGGCTGCTTGCAGGGCTGTTGTCTTTAAATCTTCCTAGAATGCAACAAGACATCGGAATTGTGGTTGTTTGCTTGCTGAGATGCAGTTTTCAATAACAGATTGAAAGTTATTCTTAAACAGATTCATCAGCCAGAACACCTCATGCCATTTTGACAACTTAAAGCATTGCCTTTTTAAACCCAATTAAATTTTGGAAACTTCAATTCAATGTGAGGATATTCTCAATTTTTCTCTTAGTGGAGAAACTTACCTACCACAGTCAAAATCTACCAGAATTTGGCTAATTCTAGATGTTAAAATCTGACTGTTGTTGTGTGTATGTTTCAGCTGTTTAAGAAGCCCCATCCTCCTAAACGTGTACGCAGTAAAGCCAACGGTGACATTGCGAGCATTCCTCCAAGCTCCAACAGTGACAAGATCTTCTTTCATCATCTGGACAATCTCAGACCCTCTCTAGCACCTGTCAAAGGTACATGTACACGTACACACACACAGTCACAAATATACACATATAGATATAGATATGATAGATATTTTTTTTTTTTTTTTTTTTTTTAACAAATCCTTTTTACTTCATACCACATTTCAAGACAGCATTGGCCACAAACAGTAAAGACTTAAAAGACAAAGCAACAAAAAAAAAAACAATATCACATTGATGACAGCTTGTAGCAGTATATTGTTCCTAGATACGTGCATATATAATATCGGGGGACATAAAAAAAAAAAAACAGCTGTACGGTACAAAGGTTGCATGCAGATTATTCACACTCAAGAGGAAAAAAAAGGGAAACAAAGGTTAAAGATTAGAATCAGTTGAAAGTATCACCTCGTGGGTGTGGGTGTGGGTGTGGGTGTGGGGGTGTGGGTGTGTGTGGTTCAGTATCAGAAAGCTGGGAAAGATTCTCCACATACTCAATAAAAGGGAAGCCAGGTTCTGTTCTGTTGTGTGATCCATCTTAAGTGATCCATCATTCAGACTGTATCTCAGCTTCTTTAGTTGGAGACAGACCATGGCTTCCTTGATCTATACTATAAAGGAGGGGGGACTGGTAGCCTTCCATATAGTTAGAATTAATCGTCATGCTAACAGTGAGGTGAGAGCTATAACATTTGACTGATATAAAGTGATGCTATATTCTGTTGTTGGTACACCAAATACTGCCATGTATGGGTTGGGTTATTGAGTTATTCACAAAAAGATCTTTAAAGAAAGTGACACCATTTTTAAATCATAAGCTACCTGCTGGGTCTATCCAGGCAGGGGTAAAGAGAGGGTTGATGTTATCGGGGTGAAGCCGAATGCTTGTTTATAGCCATTACTCTGTGCGTAAATCCCTTTAGACTCAGCACTCACATTTCTTTGTATTACTCTATCTAGAGCTAAAGGAGCCTGTGGGACAGATCGTGTGCACCGACAAGGGAATACTTGCTGTGGAGCAAAACAAAGTTCTGGTTCCCCCTACCTGGAGCAAGACCTTCGCCTGGGGCTACGCCGACCTCAGCTGCCGTCTGGCTAATTATGAATCTGACAAGGTCAATAACAGTTACTATAACAGCCACAGTTTCACAGAGACTTCTCAAGCACGCTCCTTTAATCTCCAGGCTGCAACCACTGCGTGTCACTGACGACCTCTGTGTTGCAAGTGGAGGTGCAATGTACTGTGTCATGACCTAATGTTCAGTGCTGTCATTTGGGTGCTCTTTTTTGTTGTTTTGTTAATGTGTATGGGTGTTTTTTGATCTTAAGAGGGTTGTGGCTTTTCAACACTACTACTTAATTGAAACATGGCCTACTGTAGGTTTCTTGCTTTTTTTCTCCTTGAAACTGAGACATGAATGTGAAAAATGATTAAATACAATGTTTCCCCCTGCTGGTGCTTGAATAAAAATGCACATTTCTTACAGACCCCTCAGTTTTGACTACAGCAGCCATTACAGAAGTGCTGCTAATGCAGTGGTACTGTTGTCTGTTACTTGAGCATTGTAGAGAGTAGAATCAAATTGTATCTCCCAGCAGACTAGTTACCAGACCAGGCCTGTAAACTGCCAAACACTTTATTTCTCTTTGGGACTGTGAAAAAAAGTGTACCAGTTTCTTAGCAATCATGCTCTACAACAGGTTCTTATACAGAAGCTTGCAGTTTTAGTATAAGCAACTCAAGGGTAGTTGGTTCTAGTTTAGTTTAGTTTATCCTGAATAGTGAATGTATTGCCATGCTCTCACTACACTTGTAAATCTTCTCTGGACTTCTAAAAGACATCGAATGTAAAGTAACCAGTTGCATGGTTGTTGATCGGGTGAAAGTGTTGGTTGTTAAGATATAGACAAAGTTAATACAGTCAGAATGGACCTCCATCTACATTTTCCAATCTTTGATCTAATCTTAATCTCATTTCAGGCGTTGGTGGTGTACGAGTGTCTGTCAGAGTGGGGTCAGATCCTCTGTGCCATATGTCCAAACCCAAAGCTGGTTATCACCGGTGGCACCAGCACAGCCATCTGTGTGTGGGAGACAGGAACCTCTAAGGACAGGGCCAAGTCACTTACGATGAAACAGGTAAAAACACAAACGCATATATACATACAAACTTAAAAAAGAAGTCATCAGTGACTCCCCTGCAGCCTTTAGCAAGAAAGTCCATCCAATGTCCTTACTGTTTCATCGTAGGCATTACTGGGCCACACAGACGCTGTAACGTGTCTGACTGCGTCATCGGCATACCACATTGTTGTCAGCGGCTCACGGGATCGAACCTGCATCATATGGGACCTCAACAAGCTTTCCTTCGTCACGCAGCTCAGGGGACACCGGGCGCCCGTCTCTGCTCTGTGCATCAATGAACTGACGGTGAGCTGGAGCATACTTTTCTCCTCTGTCACTTTAGATGGAAATATTAATAACATGTACTTTTACTCCAGGTTGATAAACATGAGCTAAGGAACAGAAGCTGTACATATGACATAAAGACATAATGTGTGTTTGTATAGGGGGATATCGTGTCCTGTGCAGGCACATACATTCACGTGTGGAGCATCAATGGCAGCCCCATCGCCAGTGCCAACACCTTCACAGGGCGCAGCCAGCAGATCCTGTGCTGCTGTGTGTCGGAGATGAACGAGTGGGACACACAGAACGTCATTGTCACTGGACACTCGGACGGTGTTGTCAGGGTAACCCAGCCCACTTTAGTCTCACAGAATTTCAGATATCCTACTGATAATACCTCATTGTGCACTCCTTTTTGAATCTGTTGTTGCTTGTGGTATCTGTTGCAGACAGAAGTATTCACTTTTGGGCTTTTGTCAATGTGTGTGCATGTGTATAGGTGTTCTTCAAAACAAGAATATAAGATAAGAAATAGTTAAAGAGTTATGAATAACACTATATTGGTTCCCTTCCTGGCAAGTTAAAGAGAGAGTTTGTCTGTATGTGTTATGGAGGAGCTAAACTTTAAATATATTTGTCATTTCACTCATACTGTAAATGTGCTGTGACGTAACTATGCTTAAATAAACCTTTCTTTAAATATCTCTTGTAGTTTTGGAGAATGGAGTTCCTCCAAGTGCCAGAAACCCCTGCTCCACAGCCAGTAGAGCCAGATGTGCCTGAGTGCTGTGGGGATGAGAAGATCGGTGAGTCCTACCCGGGGAAAAAACATATTAGAGCTGCAGAACCAAGTGAAGGCTGAGATTTTTTGCCAGTAATAAAGTGACATGTCCCAAAAGATAATAGGCTGACGACGTCCAACATCACATATTGCAGAAAAGTTGCATGGTTACTCTTGTGATTTGTGGATACTTTTTTTTGCCTGCTTATATTAATGTTTTGCACAATAAATTCACTATGAAAAATAACGTGTTATTGTGCAAAAACAGAACTAATAATGTAAACTTTTCTTCATCTCACAGAGGGTGGCGTGACTCACAATGGAGATGACGACAGCAGCGAGTCAGATGGAGATGAGCCGAGTCTGAGCCAGGAGCCCAAAGTACCACGCAACCCTTCAACAGGTGGAGGCAGTCAACCAGGCAGCACTGTCCACAGACCCAGAGGTACTAAACACACAACTCTTCTTATCAACACTTCATGGTTTAGTTCTCACTGTTTAGCTGATTTAGCTAAATAAAAGCTACTCAAGAATACAGATTCCAGCAGCTCTTTTGTCTGTCGCAGAAATTAATGTAAGTGGTGATAGCAGTATACTTTCAGTGTTACAGTCAGGGAAGGAAGACAAACTCCCGAAGAAATTACCCATAACTTTTGATATTGTTAAAATATAACTTTTATATTCTGAAAATAAAACATGCAGAAGCAGCTTTTAATCACTGATGCAAGCTCATCATGTTTAAATCACAGCTAAACCCATACAACATCATGCAAAGTTTCTCTGACCATATTTTTGCTTTATCATTCCATCTATGTACATCTTTATTTGTTGTTAATTGTAACGTAGCTTGTATTTCCAAAACATTTGTTTGGCTGAGAATGTAGACTTCCCTTTACAATCTTAACTTAACTTTAAGGTCCTTCAGCCCGAACGGGAGCCTCATGGTCGATGGACAGCAGCTCTGACGACTCTCACCGTTGGTCAGACACTCTAAGCATTGATGAGAAGGACGGCTTTGTGTTCGTCAACTACTCTGAGGGCCAAACTAAAGTCCCTCACCCTCATCTGGCTCATCTGGCTCATCCGGCTCATCCGGCTCATCCAGGCCAGAGCTCAGTGCCGCAGCCTCTCCAGCCCTCCGCACTGGATGCACGGACATATAACCAGCTCAGGACAGGTGGGTGTCGAGTGATGGTAAAAAAACAAATTTAAGGTTAAGAAAACACTGTAAAGAAACAAGGAGTTTATCAGGGGTTCTTTTCTGATTTAAAAAAAATAACCTCCACTGATCTGATGACAGTGGTAGCTGCATTGTTAAAAAGTTTCTTGTTTGACTGTTTATTTTTGTGTGCTCACAGGCTACAGATGGGAGCGCCAGCTGGTCTTCCGGAGCAAACTCACCATGCACACAGCGTTTGATCGTAAGGACAACGCTCACCCAGCTGAGATCACATCCCTCGCCATCTCTAAGTAAGTGTCTTGCACCAAGCGGTCAAAGATTCATATTTTATTTTTGTTTTGATTGATTCATCTTCCCTTTTAACACCCTGTCTTCAGAGACCACAGTAAGATCTTGGTGGGTGATGGTCGTGGTCGAGTCTTCAGCTGGTCAGTCAGCGACCAGCCAGGACGTTCAGCAGCCGACCACTGGGTGAAGGACGAGGTGGTTGATAGCTGCTCCGGCTGCACGGTTCGCTTCTCCCTCACCGAACGACGCCACCACTGCAGGAACTGCGGGCAGCTCTTCTGCCAAAAGTAAGTAGATTACAGCAGCAGTGCCCTTTTCACTGTACGTTAGTTTTCTACAACACATATCTACATACTGAAACACTAAAACAATTTGCATTTTTCATATAATATATGTTTATATTATTATTATTATTATATTATTATTATTAATATCTCCAATTCCTGGAGATTCATATTTTATGCAGTAAATATAGGTTTCTCAAGAAACCTTAAAAACATGTCTTGGAAGTTTAATGGGAATTAAAGTCAGACGTGGCTCTTACAGGGTCTGTTACTCAGACAATTTTTAATTAACATGTTAAGTTTCACCCGTTTGTTTCACCACCTTTTTTAACTGGAGTTCCCCAAGGCTCAATCCTGGGTCCTCTATTATTTTGTCTGTACATATTTTTAACCATTTGGTCATATAATTAAGATTCATACATGATTTTTCAGCATTATGTTCTATACAAGTTGACACACACTGGCTTTTATTGTATTATGTTATGTAAATAAGATAATAAAATAAATATATTTTATATTATGAAAAAATAAAAAAAGGATGTTTTTGCTATCATTATGGGTTAATGAGTGTAATTTCCTTTTTAGATTTGTTTAAAAATGTCCACCTTGTCTCACCTTGTTTTCCAGGTGCAGTCGCTTCCAATCAGAGATCAAAAGGCTGAAGATCTCATCACCCGTGCGGGTTTGTCAGAACTGTTACTATAATCTTCAACATGAGCGAAGTGTCGAGGACGGCAGCAGAAACTGAGCCTCACCTGCCAACAAAAGAAACCCCTCCTCCTGAGGACTCCTACCTGAGGAGCACTTCATTCCTCCATCTGCCTTGTTGTTTCCTCAACACCTCCAACATATCCCTTGAAATCCCCTTTATCCTCTCGTACGTCCAGTAACCACATGTACTGTAACACCCACTGACATAACTGTAACAAGAGGGAATGTCAGCTGTTTCATCACCACGGTGGTAAAGCTTAGCAAAGGAGGGGGGGAAACGAGGATAAAAGATCAAAAGGAAAAGGAAAAAAAAAAACCTCAATCACCACTTTTACCACCTGCACTCGACACCGGGAGGGGGAAAAAAATGCAGAAACACCCTTGATGCGGCACGCTTGAATCAATGACCCGCCATCGCAAGACGTAAAAAACTTGTTCATATTGTAAATACTTACCATGGCCTTTTTAACTCTAAGAGGAACAAACACAGAACAAAAAATAAGGTCAATGAGAAAAAACAACAAAAAAACAAATGCCTGTAACATAGCGTTGTGACTAACCACTCCTGGCTTTAAAAAAAACAAAATCGATTGTGTGTAGTCTGCGTCACGAGTCACAGCGAGTCCAGAGGAAAAACACGGAGGGGAGGAAGGGATATGAATGTCAATAATTAATGTCTGTGGGTTGACTTTACTAGTGGGTCTAGTTATGCAAAATTACGTATTTTCTTTTTAATTTCCTGATCATTTTCTGTTTTTGTTGTTTACAAAAATGTGATTTATTTTGTAAGTGTTGCCCACAGTGTCAAGCCATCACCATCAGAGAGATTTATTATCATTGTCTTTGCCTCTTTTTTTTTTTTTTTGCCAAATTGTTCTGATGTATCAATTATGATGATTTTTTTAAAAACCTATCATCTATTCTGTCCTTTATATGAATTCCCATTTGGGAGTTTTTGTTGTTGTTGCTGCTGTCTGATGACTGGACACATTATCATTTCATATTTTTATTTTCTTTTGAAACCATATCACCACTTATTTTGAGATTTTCTGTGTTTTGTCTAGAGAGAAAACATATGCTCATCATCTGTGAAAAAATACAAATTTGGTTAAAAGAAATAACGCACATGTAATATTGCTACACACTTATTTCCCGTCACATCTTTTTCATGCAGATTTATTTAGTTACTGTACAGCGTCAAAGCGGCTCTTTGAATGCACGCAAGAAAGGGATTCTTATTATGTATTGTTGTTATTTTCTTGTTGGTTTCTATTCAGTTTTGTTGTTTGCAGACCTTCAGTCTGACCCTGTGGCATTATTACAGCAGTTCAGTAAATGTTGCACTCCACACACTTTATCCTCAGTCCTTACAGAAGATGTTAAACTGCAGGAGCAGCAGCACCTTTTTTTTTAAGAGTCTGTTCAGTATAGAAAGAAATTGTTGGACATTGGAGAAGATGTAAATAATCAAGAAATTCTCTTAAATGGGGCAACATCCCAGCTCAGATTTTAAAGATATCTCTGGGTTGTTGGTTTTTTTTTTGTCTAAAGAGTCACATTTAGACAGTTGGGCAGACCTGCTGTTTGACGCTTTTTTCCCTGTTCATTGAGGTACAAATGCAGGGAAAATGTCCATAGATTTTGAGTGAGCACTGTAGCATGAGATCCACATCATAGTTTCATATTTCATTAACGGTGTACCCTGTTTTCCCCTTTTTACGTGCGTAATATCCTAATCAAACCAATCTAGTTGGTTTTGATGCCCAGGAACCGACTGAATACATCCAATACTAAAATCATTTCAACTCAGCGTGGATTTTTTATTTGTTTAGTTATCCTACTTTGTTGGCTGAAGATGTATTTAGTTAATAGAAAGTTTTGGTAAGATGAAATTGTTTTTAAACTCAAATCAGGTCAAAAATAGGTCAGATATATCAAGGAATTAGCTGTGGGTAAATCTATGAGGTTTAGTTTGTGCCAGAAATATGATTTTGTACATTTGTCAATGTTTCCCTCTGGTTAGGCTTCTGTTTTCCTGGTCATTCTCCCTCCTGTTGTAGGGATATTGTTGTTTAGTAGTATCTGATGCTACCACAAGGAGTCACCAAAGTAATGTAAACTGAGCAGTAAATGCAGGAAGACCTAAAAACAGGACACAGCAAAGATTTTTTGGCACAAATTGAACCCCATACAAGGCTGTCGTGTTAATGTTAGAGAGGTTTTATATGTTTTTCCGTTGTTTAACGTATCTTACACAACAGTTTGTCATGGACATGGTTAATTATTTCTCACCTCAACACTCATTGTTGTGATTTGGCAGGATGGCTGCAGCTGCTGGATTTCATAGTTGGCTAGAAAGAGAGTGTTTTTGTTTTTATGTACATGTTGTTTTATTTCATATGTCACCCCCACTCATCTCTCTTCATTCATATGATCATGTTTTGTTTGTGGTTCTGTGGGCAACAACTGTGCATTCAAGTGCTGCTTTCTTTCTTTCCCAGAGAGAACCTTTTTCTTTTTGTTTCCCACTAGTCTTCACAGAGTCTCAAACATGTAAAAAAAAAAAAAAAAACAAAGAAAAACTTTAGTATTCACCCCCACAGCTCCCTGATGTTATAATAATAATATGCACTCTTGTTATTGTCCTTCTTATATCATTCTGCATTTATGTACTGTAATTTAGCGTGCAATCATGCCACCTAGCTGAAAAGGCCGAGCCGGCTTCTATCAATCAAGAGTTCCTTTGCACCTTCATGTGTACAAAAAGAGAAAAGAGGAATCACAGGTTTTTATTGAATGCAGTTTTACGTTGTCGTTTTAACAGAAAGGTGCATTTCACAGCGGATAAATGAACTGTACAAAGTATTTATGCAATTATAACTGGTTTTAGATTTTTTTAATGATTATTGCGATTTCAGCAAGTTTTGTTACTTGTTGCATGTCTATTAACACAGCTGACTTTCTGTGTCAGTGCATTGTACATGTTCTCGGCATTATATTGTTTATTTTTTGGTTGGTTTTATTCTTTTTTTGTGTGTGTGGTTTTTTTTTTTGTTTTTTTTTTTTTTTTTTTTTTGAGGCATTGTCTGATGAGTTGTCCCAACAGACCGGTTTGTGTACAGAGCCAGAGATCGTGTCCCCAACTCTGGGTGGAGTTTTGTACTCTTTATGGAAACTATTAAGGACTAATGAGAGACAAAGAAGGAAAAAAAAAGAGAAATCCTGGATTATTTTGGTGGTCTTGTATTAGACTGCATTACTACAGTATCTGGTGTGCAATCTGTGATAGCTGAATGTTCCTTGTATATTTGTGTTCACTACATCCTACAGGAGAAAAACAGTAGAGTAATCCCCCCCTTACAGAAACAAAGTTACAATACTGCAATAGATCTGGTACTTATTCTTTTTAATTTCATTTCAATAAATAATTGCTGTTTACCACCAAAAACCAGACTCTGTTCTATTATTTTCAGTTTTGGGGTTAATGGTCCTGTTTCTTTTTCTTGATGTGTCAAGGAATCGCAGCACAAACACAAGTAAACTGTAAAGTTTCATTTATTGTACTGTTATTTCAGTCTGTTTGAAGTATTTAGTTGCATCTAGAAACTACAGGGGCCACAAAGTGCGTGAATGGTCCAACAATTGGTTTGTCCCTTCTGGGCTACTGTAGAAACATAGTGGTTCAACATGGAAGGCGGCCTGTAGATATGAAAGGGTCATTATAAGATATATATTATAAGATAACAAAAACACAATGATTCTTATTCTCAGGTTATTATACGCTAATGAAAACATACATATAAATATTATATTCCATGTTCACCAGTAGATCCTCCTCAGTGTTACACACTGGACCTTTTAAAGCTATTTAAATCATTTTTTTTGGTCTGGAGAAATCAAAAGTGACGGAGGGAATATGCAGAGGAAAATGGGCATCAATAAAACCCTGAAGTCATTAATGGGTTTCCAGTATTGCCCTTTAATTCAACACAACATGGCAATGAATGAGTCAACCAGTGTAGATAGACTGAACAGGAGAGAGAGAGAGACTCTCCGCAGCACCAGCAGACCTGTGTGAAATTACTACAGAAACACAGACTGAGACCGGAAGTTGTGTGATTTGTCTTTCAAAATAAACCATTCCTTCAAAGCACTATAGCTCAAATGACTACACTCAATAGGAGACGTTATTGAATTGATTGAACATAGAGCAGACCGGTAAATAAACTGTATTGTGGTCTATGAAATCTGCTGATGAAACACTTACCTTTAGATGTATTGAATTCTCAACATTAAAATGTTTAAGATTTTAACTTTAGAAAGTATCAATTCAATCCAATCCAACTTTATTTGTGAAGCACTTTAAAACAACCAACGTTGAACAAAGTGCTGTACAGGAGAATGAATAAGACATCATAAATAAAAGACATAACAGCTCACATGAGGTGCAAAATTACATATAAAATACAACAATAAAATGAAAAGACATAAAACATTAGTAAAAATAATAAAAAAAAAAAAAAAAAAAAAAAAAAAAAAAAAAAAAAAAAAAAAAAAAAAAAAAAAAAAAAAATAATAGCCCCGTGGGATTACTAAAATCCTAATGTAGTGGAGTAGAAAAGGAAAATACTCAAGTTCAAATTTTTTTTTTGATATTTGTGCTTTACTTAAGTACAGCACTTGAGTGGATGTACTTGATGGTTGTAACTTTCTATCACTAACCCGGCTACTGAAGAAAGAAGCGTAAATCTAAGTACTTGCAACTTATTCCTCCGCAAAGCTTTTACTTTGAAAGTCTGTGCCGGAAACGGTATGTCCTCAACTTGCCGACGTTGACGGTGTTTCGAGGGGGGCGGAGGGGACGGCGGGGACGGAGACTGCGGTGATAAACAAACACACGCAGTGGAGTCGTTAGTCTCTTGTCGAGCTGTGTGGCAGCGCTTTGACAGCACCGGCCGACTTCCAGGAAAGCTGACCTTCACGGACCGAGCTTTAGAGCCAAAACCGGGTTAAAAATCCAGCACTTTATCTGAAAAAAAAAAAAAAAACCCCCAGGATTTTATCCCCTTCTCCCTCTCTCCCTCCCCCCCTCCTCCTTCCTTACCCCGGAGTCGGCTTATGTGACACATTAACGTCCCCGGCAGCGACACGAGCGAGAAACATGACGGAGCTGAGGAAGCGAGGCGGAGGCGGAGGAGACCCTGACAGCACCGACAATATCAGCGACAAGGTAAAGAGCTCCGCAGCGAGAATAAAAACAGCAGTTTCCCTCCGAGACCTCGCCCTCCAAACAAGTTAGTCCGGTTGTTGTCAGACGTTGGCCAAGCTAGCCGGGTTGTCAGGTTAGCAGGGGGAGCTAAATAAGCTAGTTAGTTAGCTGCTGCCTCCTGTAATCCTGCAACAACATCAACACAGAAACCACGGAAAGCGCTCAGTGTGGAGAAAGAACGACTTCTGGTTGGTGTGAGGTTCACGGCCTCATCGTGGCTGGCATTATAAATTAGACTAATCCATGTCGTGCCCCCTCCTGTTGGGTTTAGTCAGACCCTTGAATGTGTCAGCTGAATATTTAGCTTGCAACTTGGGTTTGTGTAGTAAGTATTAGAACAGGTGAAAGGCTTAGAGGGCCTCTTGACCAAAGGGGTCCTCAAGGTGGACGTGAAGGGTCCAGTTTTGTGCTTTAAAATTAAAATGTCCAGTGTTTTGTGCCTCTTTCCCCGTTGATTTGGACAACAACAAGACTAGCCACTCGTTTACTCTCTGCTGTGTTGACTCCATACAGGTAGTGAGTTGAAAGACTGAAAAGATTCTTCTTTTTGCCAGATAAATAGTGAAAAATGGCTTTTTACTTTGTTTTTAAGGAGTGGTTGTAGTGCTAAAACAATAAAGCAATAATATTGATAGAGCTTAGAGATAGTTCATTATTGTTCTTGGAAACGGGTGACAAATCCACTCAAGGGCCACTTACTCACTTGTTCTAGAGCTTTCGACTGAATCACATTATTTCCCCAGATGGCTTTATAATAGCTACACTGAGGGAACCATCTATCTGTAGACCCCTGACGAAAAGCTCTGTAATGGGGGAGAAATCAGAGAAAGAGGATCAGAGAAGGGATCCCTCTCAAATTTTCACATTTTAAATTTTTTAAAGCATTTTTAGGACTTTTCGTTAATGCTAGCCCAAAAGTTGAGCTTGGAGGTTTGTTCTTAATCTTGGAAACCACAAGTGGATTTTAGATTGTTGATTAATGAGCTCAGATACAAAACATCTGTGAGATTTACTGATTTCAGTTCTTATTATTGTAAATTTGATATCTTTGGGTCTGTTGGGACCGTTGTCAACCAAGTTATATTTGAATGTAATCAAAGTAAGTTTGGGTGTTTACTATCTCCATCTTTGTATGAATGAATGGTGCTATCTCTTTGTTTCCCAGAGTCTTTCCCTCAGTGGGACTGTTTCAAAGGTTAGACAGAGTTAAGTCCATCTAACAGCTCAGTCCCCTGTGTAATGTATGTAGAAGTCGTTGAGCAATCCCACCCGGCCCACTGATTAACTCGCCTCCCAGAGAGAAGAGCTCGCTCACTGATGGTCTGCATAATGTCTCTGAAACTGCCAAGGAGTTCAAAATGGCCCAGAAACTCTGCGGACCTCCTTTCTAAATCATATATGTGCTGCTGCATGCCTGCTTTACACAAGGTCACCTCGTAGGGAAGTGTGCTGACACAGTAACCAAAATTTCCATATCACCTTGATACCTGAGGAGTCTTTGAATTTCAGTCCAAAACAGAAACATACTCAGTTTACTGCCATAGAAGAAGAAGAAGAAGAAGAAGAAGAAGAAGAAGAAGAAGAAGAAGAACCAGGGCTCAAAATTATTATTTTTCTTCAGTGTGTGAATTCTGCTTTCAGCTGTCCTAGACCATTGTCCCAAATTGTTTTTTTTTTCATTCTACGTAATAAATATAGTTTAATAACTTTACCTTTCATGAACATCATCACTTCATTGACTCACTCTGGTCCACCACGGAAGCTCTGCTAGTTGTTCCCTGTACTTATATCTGAATAAATCATTGAAGTTACTAGTTAATAATTTAGTTACTGTATCTTGTTTATTCCCAAGTTTTGGTCAATAGATGCGAATGCAAACCTGTGGATGGATATTTACATACATTCCTTACATACATACTTAATCACAAACTCATTACAGGGACATCGTATATTTGAAGTGAGACAGTTAAGAAAAGTCCACAAAGGCAGCGAGGTGATCAAACAAATTATTTAAATATTTACAAGCCCAAACAAACTATTCAAACATCAGGATCATTGTAGTGTTAAAGAAGCTAACAAATAATGTACAGTTTCTTTATAAAACAGGTATTTTGCAACATGATTCAGTTCCCACTGGAGACTCGTACTAAAAACAGATGGACTTGTAGAACTGAAATACATTGACCACGTGACATGCACATCTATATGTATTTGTTCCTGGTTACTGTTGCCTGTGTGTGTGTGTGTGTGTGTGTGTGTGTGTGTGTGTGTGTGTGTGTGTGTGTGTGTGTGTGTTTACGGTTTGGTCATTCTGGCACACTTGACATCTCATTAGTGTCCCAACTTGTTTGTCCTCACCTCCTCCAAAGTCCATTTTTGGCGAGGTGTTGCCCCACCATGCTTTCACTGGGCGGTAAATTAAATAAGCTGTTTTTCCTTTAGTAAATAAGCCGTAAGGAGCTATTATAATAATTAGAATAAGCCCAGTCTTAATTTCTGCCTGACACTCCTTAAAATACATTTGTGTCACTTCTAGGGTGCTAAATGTTCTGATAAACTGCTCTTATTATTTTATTATTGATATTAAGGTTGTCATGAAACCAGAGTTTTTAACTTTGAGTAGTGTTAAAGAAAATACACGTACACATAAGCAATGGGACGGTGTGAATTGATGTGAAGACATGTTGCACAAGTTGAAAATGTATAAACACGAATTGCAAATAAAATGCGTGTGAATCCCAGGGCTAGTAACAATAAAAGAGGCTGGGAGTTCTTGGTGAGTTCTGTGTCAGTCAGAATATTAGCTGAGCACACACACACACACACACACACACACACACACAAATGTTTATTGCATTCATTGTTAGCTAGCGTATAGCTAACATCTATACAGTTGTTACACTGGCTGTTTGGGCAAATAGACACAAACAGTAGAGCAGTTAATACTCTCCTGTCGCTCTCCTCTTAACCTCTTTAACTTCACTTTTTTTTTAACTCGTTAACTTTTCATTAACACAAACGACACACTCACAACACACAAATTAGCCTCCACACAAGCTGACATGTTAATGGACTGTCTCAATGCCTTGAGTAGAAGGTTTCCTCTGTGAGGTCATTTATATCCTCTCGTGTTTTATTAGGTTGGCAAATTGCCAGCAGATAAAGGCTTCTAATGTTTG